TATTAATAATTATTTAAAAAAATAATAATTAAAATATTATAAATAATTAAATTATATTTTTAACGTTAAAAACTTATTATTTAATTATATAAAATATATATTATTATTAATATTATAATTAAATTAATTTAATTAAAATTAAATTTTAAATATTATATATAATAAAATAAATTAATTAAAAATTAAACTTTTATTTATAATAATATTTAATTTTTTATTTATAAAATTAATAATTTTAATTTATATATTTTTTATCATTTTTATAACGGTAACCTTTAAATTATTTATAATATAATTAATTTATATATTATTTTTATTAATATTTTATTTATTAAAAAATTTAATTTAATATTTATTAATTATATTTTTATATAAATTAAAATAAATAATTATATATTAAATTTATTATTATATATTAAATTATTTAATATTTATTAAAATAATTTTTATTATATAAATTTTAAAGTAGTTTTTTTATTAATAAATAAATTAATTATTATTAATTAATTTATTTAAAAATATTTTTTAAATTAATAATTTATTAATAATATTATATATTAAAATTTTATTAATTAAAAATTTACTTTATTAAAAAAAATAAATATATAATATTAAAACTTAATTTTTAATATTAATAAATTTTAAAAAATAATTTAAATATATAATAAATCCGATATTTAAAAACCTTTTTTAAAAAATTTATAATTAATAATATATAAAATTTTTAAATTTAAATATATAAAAAATAATATTATATATATTAATATATTATAAAATATAAAATATTAATTATAATTTATTAAATAATTAATATTAATTAATTTTAAAATATATTAATTTAATATTAATAAACTTAATAAAAAAATCGTAATAATTATTAAAATTAATTATTATAAAATTTATTTATAAAAAAGTTTTATTTAATTTAATTATAATTAATTATAAAATAAAAAAATAATAGCAATTATAAATTTATATATATATATTATATAAAAATAAAATAAGTTTTATTCTAGTTTTTTAACCTATTTTAAGGTTTTAACGCTTTTTAAGCGTAGCGAAGAGGGACCGCCAGGCGCTTGGGCCCTCTAGTATGGGGTATTGTCTTAGTGCTGCGGTATACCTATGCCGTTGGCGAAGAGGAGAATCCAAGATGGAGGTGTTCCTTTTGGTCTAAGACGTCGTGATCTATGAAGCTTGTTTATGGTCCCTGGCTAGAGGTGGTCCAAGATATGGGCTTGAGGCTAACCCGGTGTTATTTAGGTACTTCGATATAGCCAATAGGAGAATACAGTAATAAAAGCCTCTTACGTAGTATGTCATGTATAATCTTCTATTCATCTTAGTAGAATGGTAAGTCTTTGGAGTTTATTGCTACTGATCAAATCATCTAGTACACGTCTCCCTATTATAGTACCTTCATAGTTAGGGTCGTTGTGTGGGACCTTAATATCTGAACGATCTACGTAACGGCGCCCGTTGTGGATTTGTTTCTTTACCCCTACCGTTATTATGACTGAACTACTGCATTCCTACGTGGCCATCTAAACTAATAAGCTATTACTAAAATAGTAACTATCAAGATCTCCGAAAACCAACGGTTAGCTTCTCGTCGAAATGGGGCGGGATCAGCGAACTCTCCACGCGACTAGTTTTCGCTAGCCAGCCTTTACTTTCGTGAGGCTGCCTCATTCTATGGTTAATTCTAGCTTGAGTCTTGCGGGGAGGTTTTCTTCTTCTCCTCTTTAGTCGTTCTTAGCTTAGCTTTTTAGAGCTAACGGCTGAACATCCGGCAGCTTTATGAAAGTCCAACTTGTCAACTGACTCTATACATTACCGAGAGTCACATCCAGGCAGCTATCAGAACTCGTTTAGTCAAGGACGTACGACGGAAGTCTTTTTATTTAGCATACTGCCTACTTGCGGTATTCGTGTCGTCGAATTCATGAGCCGTCGCTTTCACATGGTTGGAAGATGGGAAGATAAATCATAAAAAGTGATATGTTGTTTTTGTAGAGAGCAGTACGCAGTATTTCGAGAAGACGGAATTCTCCAGACCCCCCAATAGTGACGCCTTAATGAAGTGTCTTTATGGTGGACTTTGGCGGGAGATTAATGGCTTTACTATACCTCTCGAGGCTAATCGTCCTGGTCGTCTCCCCCTGCTTTGAATGTCGTTACATACAAGCTTCTACCAGCTACCGGCCGGTCCGACCCATTTTCATTCTCCACTTGGCTCATCTTTGACCTGGGGTCATTTATTAATCTCAGCGGGCTTCTGATATTGCTTTATGCTTAACTATATCTCGTCAACCTCTCATGCTTTTTTAACCCACCCGTCCATCTGTTGGAACGACGCCGTGGTGGAGAATTAAACACGATCGTATGACGAGGGTTACGGAAACAATCCGAGTTACCACTTGTAGTCTTTTCAGGGGTCCCTCGACCAATCACGTTCTCGACCAGCCAGGACTACCCCAGATGGTTTAATCTGGGCTATGCACGGCACGTACACACCTGAAACGAAGACACCGGCAATAATCAGAACCCGGCTTCACTTATACACAGCCTGCATATTAGGTGTCTAGATAACTTTATATCACTGACCCTCTTTTGGTACGAAACACGCCATCACGTCGATGTGTTCGGAAAAGTAGATATCTATTGTCTTTGGAACTGCTTACTGTAGCTGGCAAGCTGCAAGTTATGAGATTAACGTGGTATTCGACGATCTAGAACCTCAATTCTCCAATTCCCCGCTCACTGTCAACCTGGAACTTCTCGTGGATCTTTATGCATCTGCCCTCTTTTTTTACGTATCACTTTCTTAAATGAGAGCCTGCTAGAAAGCTACTATATTATTCGATCTTAGAGCTTGATACCCTCCTGGGATTTACAAATCGCTCACGTCCTAGTGGTTCGACGATAAACCGTGAAAGAATAGGAGGTACTTAGCGGTGGTTTGTTTAACTTATACAACGGGACCGATCTGCAATTGCAATTGCTTCGAAGGTGCGACGACAAAACGTTGCTATCTGATTTAATTTAGTGAAGATGGTTTATTGCGGGAAACCCTCAAAGGGCTGTCAGATGTGTAGGACGAGGAGAATAAAGGTAGGTTGCTATGCAGGCAGCATACCCATATACCTATCCTCTTATGTTCCCTCGCAGACTAATTGGTGCTCTTCTCCAAGCAATAGTGCGACGAGACAAAGCCTACGTGTAATCAATGCACCAAATCACGCAGACAGTGTCCTGGATATAAGGACGAGTTCGATCTAATCTTCCGTAACGAGACACAGGCTACGGAGCGTCGAGCGCGGAAGGCTAGCAAAAAGGGGCTGGCGATAAAGACGGAAAAAACAGTCTCTGAGTCGGGGGACACGAATGTGTCCGTAGTATTTGCTAACACCACTAAACAACCAGTAAAGCAGGCAGTCATTCGTCCGCTCAACATCTCCATAGAACAGCAGGCTATTTGTAGCTTCGTCTCTAATTTCGTCTTAATACCCGGAGAAGGAGACGGGCGAGCTTTTATGGAATATGTCATCCCGCTACTGAAGGAACATCCGGCAGGCCACTTACAAAATGCCTTCAATGCGTGCTCAATGGCATTTCTGAATAATCGGGGAGGGGTGTGTAACAGGTTTTCGGACAGAGCACTGCACGAGTATACGAAGGCGCTTCATGGGACGAATGCTGCTTTGAGAAACCCCGAGACGCAATTGGCGGACACGACGCTGGCTGCTGTTTTACTGCTGGGCTTATTCGAGGTATGTCTATCTTGCTTTGTCTATCTTGCTTTAGAGTATTGTACATTATACGATGGCGTTCTAATACGGGATATGTATAGAGCATTACGGCCAAACAAATCGGCATGCTGAACTGGGGTTCACATACCGAAGGGGCTATCCAGCTCGTCAAAGCTCGAGGTAAAGAGCAGTTAAAGACCAAAACTGGCTTGGGGCTCTTCATCGCCGTTCGGACCCAAATGGTGTGTTTAGTTTACATCCCGCACATAATTAATTAATTAATGAAGTTGCCCGTGACTACTAACGAGACAACCAGATTATCCATAGCCTCACGGCGGGAACAGCCCCTATAATGGGTGCCGAATGGTGGATCGACGACGCGGTCAGGAACGAAACAGCAGCATCGTGTCACCGGCTCATGATAAAACTAGGAGAGTGCCGAGCCGAAGTCACACGGCTGATGAACAGCATGGCGCGAACCCCCGACAACATGGAAATCATGATGGACATGCTCCGGCGAATACAGACGGTCGACCAAGAAGTCGTAGCCTGGATGCGCAACGTGCCCGAAGACTGGCGCTTCCGCACCGTGACGTGGGAGGACCGCGTGCCCGACGGCGACTACTCGAAAGCAGAAGTGTTTCCCGGCCGCGTCGACGTCTACCAAGACTTCTACATCACCAGCGTGTGGAATACCTCGCGCACGGCACGTCTGGTCCTAGCCTCCCTCGTCGTGCGCTGCGCAGCCTGGATCTGCAGCCCCGTCGACTACCGCACTACGCCCGAGTACGCGACCGCGGCGCGCACCTGCGTGGAGACCATCACCGATATCATCGCGTCGGTGCCGTACCAGCTCGGCTGGCGCCCGAGCAAAGCAACCAGCAGACACCAACACCAACAACAACATCAACATCAGCAGAAGAATAGATTCGTCTGCGGCGAGGAAAACTCCCCCAAAGCCCTCGCGGGCTACTTCCTCACGTGGCCGCTCATATGCCTGCACAGCCAGGACTACACGACGGACGCGCAGCGCGCGTGGATCCACGGGCGGCTGCGGTTCATCGGGGACGAGCTGGGGGTCAAGTACGCGCATGTGCTGCGGCAGCTGCAGATTCGCATGCCGAGCATGCTGATACGGCGGGACGCGCTCATGGCGAAGCAGGCTAGCGTGCAGCAGCAGCAGGAGTACTCGAGGAGGCCGCAGGGGCAGCAGATAAGTATGAGCATGAGTACGAGTATGGGTATGAGTATGGATATGAGTATGGGTATGGGGGCTTGTTCGTTTGCGCCGCCGTTGCCGCCGGGGATGTCGGCGGGTGTGTTTGTTGGTGATGAGAGCGGTCTTAGTAGTAATAATGGCCTGTTACAGCACGTCGAGGCGCTGCGGAAGAAACACTTCGAGCAGCGTCGCGCGGAGCTGCTGGCGCATGCGGCTGGAGGCCAGGACGCGGGGGAGAGTCAGAAGTGGGTTGCGAAGCGGTGGTTGGTTGTATGATGGGTTGATGTTAATGGTGATGGTGATAGTGATGGTGATGTTGATGTTAATGACATTGGTGTTAGTGCTGGTGTTTGGGTTGGAGTTGATGGAGGCAACTTTCGACTTTTACGATTACAACTAACTACATAAGATGCCTGAGCTACCTACGATACCGATTTTAAGGATCGCCTATCTACTTGGATGGATGAAGCGAGACGCCCCGGCAGGTAGTCAGAGGGATATCCAGAAGCGCGGGTATATATATATAATGTACCTTATATATCAGAAGCCGGATAAGACGGCATTAGCACTTCGAGGCGTATTGTACCGCAACGCTATGATACCATCTGGTCAATTAGGTATTGTACCGGGGATCGTTGACCAGCGCTGCGCTCACAAGGGTGAGGGTGGATTAGGAGGCCTCGATTGCGGCAACCCAGCGACACATTCATGTATTGATATCCACATCTAGGACTCTAGGACTTAGACACCTATGTTAGGTACTATTGGATGAATTAATAAGGGTTCATATATCATTCTAGCTTTTGTTTACTTGTACCCTTTTATACAATACATAGTACGTGGAATATGGTTTGTGAGGGGCTTAGGTATTGGAGCTATGACCGCGAGGCTATTTTACATACGTATTAGATACGATAATACGTCGTATTTCTTTAATGGTATAACCAAGAAATAAGGGCCTGGGACTAAGGGTGGCTTGGACTGGGCTGGCCTGGGCGTTGAAGAGTACCGTTGGACTGTTAGAGGAACTAGTCGAAAAAGAAAATAATAAAATTTGAAAGAATTGATCTCCTAGCTTCAGCGTTTTTGTTATGGCCTCGTATATTCGATTAAGTACCTTAACTTCCACAGGTACGGCTTTCTGCATGGGTTTCTGGAAACGTATCAGGATGTAGTTTGCTTTTCCAGGACTGCATGAAATTGCGAGACATTTTCTTCAAGGGAGTCTTGTACAGTGCCGTATCTGTACCACAAGGCTTGCCGTCGGATAGGGCTCGAGACAAGATGAGCAACGCAGTCTTGCGGCGGCCGTAAAAGCATAATCGATAAAACTTGCAAATGTCCCTTTTTTGTTGAATATTTAATAAAAGTAGAAATAAAGAATTCAAACGCCGAACTCTCTCGTCTTCGCGATTCCTATATAGAGCCATCCACTAGTCGGCTAGGGTATCATCATATATCGTACAGGTTTCCTTTCGCTCCCACTCTTGTGCGATGGCAGGCGATAGATTTGAATCAACCATGCGTATCCTAGGTAGCTGATCCATTTCCTTCGAGCTCGCGATTTCATCCGTGTAAGTAGCGCGCAGACGTAGAACAAATGTAATAAGAAAAGAGCCGTCTAAATCGTATACACTCGGCGAACAGAACCTGCCTCATGAAGTACGCAGTATCTCGACTCCGAACTTTTACCTCCTCTTGACGGGGGGCGGAGGATTCCCTAGATTCCAGGCCTTAACTACCCAGCTCTGAGTCGCATCGACGTATTTCTCTTCTTCAACGTGCTTGACGCTGACCTTCAGGCCATCTTTGGTGAAAACGAGGTTCTTCCGAGCCATGCGCTTTTCGGTACTGTCGCGAATCTTGGTCGCCCCGAGATATACTTGGTAGCCGACGAAGGCGACGCCGCCAAGAATGACGAGAAGGATTAGGAGAGGTAGCAACTGTCTGCGCGGCGGGAGGAAGCGATTGCGCTTACGTTAGCGAATGGAACGGGGATCGTTATGTATGTATATACATAACGGCAACGGTAGATAAGGCTTAGTACCTGAACGTCGATGACTTGGCCTCGACTGGGATGCGAGACTTGTTCTTCCAAACCATGATTTCTGCTGTGGGGAGGCGAATTGGTGGTCGTTCTGGATGGTTATACGAAATATGCTGATTCGCAATCTAGGAGAGGGAGAGAGAAAAATGAGAAAGAGACTACAATGAGAATAAAGTAGCGCCCAATTTACTGGTGGCGGGAATAGCCTGTGTTAGTACGAGGAGTCCTTAGGTAGGTAGGTTAGGTAGGTAAGTATGTAGGTATTAGGTTACTTGGAGATGTAGTGATCGGGGAGATTTGCAGAGGATCACCAAGGGGACTTATAAGAGGTATCACGGTCATCCGGATCTAAAAAAGGATCTGGATAGATGGGAAAGGGAAGGATTAAACACGGGTGGTTGCATGCAGCTGCGCAGACGGGAAGTATATAATGTATAAGAGACGTGGAGGTCTCAGCTGAAAGCAATCATTGTTCTTCAGGGTCCATCTCATAACAACGTGCTACATACTATCGTAATGCGATGAGATGCTAAAATTAGGCGGATGCACCCGTGGATACGTATAAAGTATCCGCTTGACTGGCATAAAACAGCAAACCTACTATTTTCAGTATCGATACATCAAGATTGGCTAAAGGATATAGACTGGTTGCGTTGAACTTACGTACTCTACCGATTATAAAGGGTTTGCTGTTTTATGCCAGTCAAGCGGATATAAAGTAGCACAAGGGGAGAGTCTAGCCTGCCTAATCGAGGTTGATTTCATATTCAATAGGGAAACAACAGGATCGAGCTGGAAGTTCGGCACGTTTTGGTTTGGTAGGTACATAGCACAGTGGGATTTCGGAGATGTGGAGGGGGTTCTCCCCTCCGAAGGAAATAAGCTTTTAGGTCTTTACATTAGGTAAGCATGCATAAATCCATATTGTTATCTTATCTTGGCCTTGGCATAGAAGGAAGCTTGGACCAAGATCGAATAAAGCTACTAGTAATCCGTACTAGCATTACCTAACCCGCAGCCTGCCAGCCCGCCAGCCCGCCGCCAGCTTCACCCACCATTTTGTGCAATCTGTCGAATCACAGCGTCATTTAGCTTGTGAAATTGACAAGTTGCTGAATTCGGGTAACATCTATCCTATCGCCAGTGTAGTCCAAAATGATGATCTTATAAACCGCAATATTTACGCCTCGTGTTTTTCACCTTTCCCTTTTTCGCATCCTACTTCGTTCCATCTATACACGTCCCGTTAGCAGTCTCCATCCCTTTTCGTCTCTGCCTTTTTAAAAACGTGGCCTCCGAGAACCACCCCATCCTCTATCGATTCGTGTCCACAAGTTCGAGCCCTTAGGTACCTAGTCTCACCACCACCACCACCACCACATATCTGGCTTCGACACGACGAGATATTCCTCCTACGTAATCTTATATCTGGTGCGCACTGGGTCATTAGAACGCCCGCAGAAAATACAAAATCATTGAACGCAAGTAGGAGGAAGACGAGATTAGGACAGGCCAAGAAACGAGAATATCACTGATCAGTGACCCGTTGCGCCAACATGGCTGCCCCCAATGACGGCTACGGCCAATACCCACCGCAGGAGTACGGCCAGGAGGCACCATACTCAGACCAGCAGCCTGCCGGCTACGGAGGACAGACGTCTCCCCCTCCTCAGGCCACATCGCACCACGATGGAAAAAAGAAGAAGAGGGGCTATGCCACTCAGGCGTTCGAGTTTGGAAGCGGCGCGAACGCTGGCGCTACTGGCCCAACACCCGGCGGCATATCGCCTGGATACGGAGGTTCTGTTCCGGGTCCTCAACCCTCTCCGGGCTACGGGGCTGGCAGTGCTTATCCTGCCCCGGATTTCCAACAGGGTGGTTATGGCTCTCCCGCACCCGGCCAAGCACCATACGGCGCTCCCCAGCAGACAGGTGCTCCCCAGCCAGGGTTAGGTGGCTACCAAGCTCCCGACCCATACTACCAGCCGGGAGTCGGACAGCCACCTCCGGGAGTGGCCGGCATAACTCAAGGGATGGCTGGTATGAACATGGGGCCCGGTCCTCAGCCCGCCGTTCAGCAACCTGCTCAGCAAGCTCGGGTCGCCTTAAACCAGCTCTATCCAACCGACTTGCTAAACCAACCATTTAACGTGTCAGAATTAGATTTACCCCCTCCCCCTTGCATCCTACCACCAAATGTGAGTCCCGTGGAAATATTCTTTGCCTATCTATATCTAGGGCTAACTCTCGTAATAGGCCAGTGTCACCCAGTCCCCAGATGCGAACTGCCCTCCTAAATATATCCGGTCGACTTTAAATGCAGTCCCTACTACGCACTCCCTGCTTAAGAAGTCTAAATTGCCGTTTGCCCTCGTCATTCAGCCGTATGCCGCCCTTCACGACATCGATGATCCTGTACCCGTTGTTCAGGATCAGGTTATAGCCAGGTGTCGGAGGTGTAGGACTTATATCAACCCCTACGTGATCTTCCTGGACCAAGGTCACAGATGGCGGTGTAATATGTGCAATCTTACCAACGACGTGCCGCAAGCCTTTGACTGGGATGCTGCCGCTCAGAAGAGCGTCAACCGATGGGATAGATACGAACTGAACCACTCCGTCGTCGAATTTGTTGCGCCTCAGGAATACATGGTGCGTCCTCCGCAACCGTTGGTGTATCTGTTCCTTTTCGATGTTAGCTACGCTGCTGTCTCTACCGGTCTTCTTGCTACAAGTGCGCGTACTATTTTAGACAGCCTCAACAGGATACCCAACGCCGACCGACGAACCCGATTAGGATTCATCGCAGTCGACTCGAGCTTGCACTATTTCTCTGTCCCCAAGGATGACGACGAAAATGCGGAGACATCTATGCTGGTTATCAGCGATCTGGATGAGCCCTTCCTGCCAGTTCCTCAGGATCTCTTGGTCCCCCTGATAGAAAGCCGAAATAGTATTGAGAACTTTCTGGCCAAGCTTCCCGACATGTTCCAGAATAACCAGAGTAATAACTCGTGCATGGGATCTGCCCTGAGGGCTGGCCACAAGCTCATCTCGCCGTTAGGTGGCAAGATCGTGGTGCTCAGTGCTTCGTTGCCGAATTTGGGAGTAGGAAAGCTGGATATGCGGGAAGACAAAAAACTGTTGGGTACGTCTAAAGAAAGCGGGCTCCTCCAGACCGCAAACAGCTTCTATAAGTCGTTTGCCGTCGAGTGCTCCAAGAATCAAGTTTCTATCGATATGTTCCTTTTCTCCTCGCAATACCAAGACGTGGCTTCGCTTAGCAACCTTCCCCGATATACCGGTGGCCAAACCTGGTTCTATCCCGGATGGAATGCGGGCCGTGCCGAGGACGCAGTCAAGTTTGCATCGGAATTTAGCGACTTCCTATCTTCGGAAATTGGGTTGGAAGCAGTGCTTAGAGTGCGAGCCACGACGGGCTTGCGCATGAGTACATTTTATGGAAACTTCTTCAATAGGTCTTCAGATCTATGTGCCTTCCCGGCTTTCCCCCGCGATCAATGCTACGTCGTTGAGGTGGCTATCGACGAGACTCTGCAGAAGAACTACGTTTGCTTACAAGCCGGTGTCTTGTACACTACATGCAATGGTGAACGGCGTATCCGTGTCATGACGCTCGCGATCCCCACAACAACCAACCTCGCGGATATATATGCCTCGGCGGATCAGTGTGCGATTACGACATACTTCACTCACAAGGCTGTCGAGAGAGCTCTCAGTAGCGGTTTAGACGCCGCCCGCGATGCTCTCCAGAGCAAGCTCATCGAGCTTCTCCAGACTTTTAAGAAGGAACTAGGAGGTGGAAGCATGGGCGGTGGTGGGTTACAGTTCCCTGCCAACCTGCGTGGCCTCCCGGTGCTCTTCTTAGGCTTGATCAAACACGTCGGTCTCCGAAAGTCGGCGCAAATCCCGTCAGATCTCAGGTCGGCGGCTCTGTGCCTACTATCTACGTTACCTCTGCCGCTTCTAATGCAGTACATTTACCCTCGGCTATATTCGCTACATGATATGCCCGATAATGCCGGAGTTCCCGACCCAGAAACGAGCCAGATTGTCCTCCCACCGCCATTAAACTTGTCGTCAGAGCGATTCGTTACCTACGGGCTATACTTGATCGACGATGGCCAAACGCAATTCCTATGGGTGGGTAGGGATGCAGTACCCCAACTATTGACGGACGTATTTGGTGTAGGGGATCGCACTCAGCTACGTGTCGGCAAAGGCTCGATTCCAGAGCTCGACAACGATTTCAACGAACGTGTCCGAGCCGTAATTCACAAGAGTAGGGACCACCTATCACGCGGGGTTGGTAGCATCATCGTACCACATCTATACATTGTACGGGAAGATGGCGAACCAAGTCTGAAGCTCTGGGCGCAGACGCTGTTAGTAGAAGACCGGGCAGACCAAGGGATGAGCTTCGGTCAGTGGATGGGAACGCTAAGAGAAAAGGTAAGTTGAGAAACATTAGATGAAGTAATTATCCCCATGGCACTTATGCTTATTTTGATTTTAGGTTGTGCAGTAGTGGAACAACGACCTATTAAAATGGCAAAGGTATGGCATTGAGGAGTTGCAAGACCAGTACGAACGACTCCACGGATACGGATAAAGAAAAGGCCTTGGAGAAAAAGGAAGTAAATCGAAGCAACGCCAGCGAGTCGTTGACTTGGAATCGACGACATGTCAACTAGCGCCTCCATCATGTTAAGTAAGCTACCTAACCTAGCATTAATAAGCCTTACAGCGGCTTTATTTTCAAAGTCAGTGGGTCGATTTTGTTCTCAGGTGTTCTCAGGTCCGTTTCATACGGCCGAATTAGGTCTAATACGTGACCGAGTGGGCTGCGGACCTGTTACATACGTGCCTTACCATGTAGAAAGCTCCGCTAGCGAATTACAATGCCGTTTGGTGAAAAGGGATCTCGAGCCGGTGTCTTGAGATGTTAGTGATAGGGGTGATCGACGTTCCGCCAGGTATTGTCCGCGTGTATCATTAATATGTCAGCAATTCGACATGCGTGCCCATCCATCTGCCCGGTGTTTGCCGATTTACCAGTCTCACAAGATCTCGCTGGTCTAGTAAGTAGCGCGGCAATGTCATAGTACGTAGAATATAAGGTAGTTACATGTAATACATAACTACCTACATATAGAAGATATTCTATCGGCCGTAGATGCAGCGCCCGGATCGACTAGATCAGACCCGGTTGGCAAATGGAGCCGAAAAATGCGGGAATGGTGTGAACGAGTTACCCTCATTTCTCCGAATACACGGTACACAAACCAGTCACATATCGTTGCTGGACCCGGCAATCTGGGTATTGGGCGCCGCGGTGGATAAGTAGCTATATCGTAAGCGCCTCGGTTCTTTTGTCAGAGCCGAACCTAGGCTGGCTTAAGACTGGATTTGGAGCGGCAAGTTGACTTGATTTGATTTGACTTGACTTGACTTGACTTTTACTCTTTGCTCGCACAGCCCTATCGGTGGTTTGTTTTTTTGGTACGGAAAGTAAAAGTGGCAGGCAAGGGACGGGACGAAAAATTCCAGCATATCGAGTGGCCGGGAGGCAGCCGGTGCCGAGGGGTGCTTCAGATCCCCGGTCACATCTTTGGGTCTGGTGTTTGACCAGTCACGAAACGGACAGGGGAGGCTGTCGGGATGGGTTTAAAACACACGCGCCGGGCTAGGGGTTGCGGCGCTTAGGGTGGATGCTTATTGGGCGGGCTGGCGTGTGTGGTTGAATGGTTGAAAATGTATCGGCGTTTGAGGGTGTGATGGATGATTGATTAGGGATATATAGGGGACGAATATTGTTGTGGCGTGATGGAATGGAATGGGATGGGATAGAGTGAGTGTTTATATTGGGGGTGTTTTATAGATGAGGATGAGGATGAATATGAAGGTATAGGGATGTTATTTTATTGGTTGAACTTATTGGTGATAATACAGTAAAAGAGACTTGACGTGTGACGATAATAAGATGTAACAATAGTACATGGTTTCGATAAGAAATTGCAATACAAGATACAAGATTAAGTTACTTGGATGGAAAGAGGACCCCGCGAAAGTTAGGTACCTAGGTACCTAGGCATGTGTGTCTCGATACACAAACATCCCCTTACCCCTCCGACCCCACCAGCCAATCCCTCTCCTATCAATTTAAGGTTCTCTCCTAGCTCCAAGCCCCAAGCCCCTCCTCTCGCCCATCGCGCTTCTAGTGTATGTACCTACATATCATATCACAATATTACACTTTCACCCATCCCGTCTTAAGTCAAACTTAAAGCATTCCTCGGGACTAGACTACTTACCTATGTACCTACCTCTTAAGTTTGGTATCGGTATCGTTAACCTGCGCTGGACTTGCTTGCCCCTTTATACCGAGCAAACCTGAATTTAGATCCCACGTGGAAAATTACCCGGGACTAACATCTTAGGGGCGCTTAGAGGTACCTGTCTTAGATATACACATAAAAGAGAAGGCTTATTAAACTAAACTGTTCATGTTCATTTAGGCCCGTGCCATAAATACTGTATAAACACTTTGTCTCGTCTTCTAATACGTTTCTTCTCTATATACCTAACCTATCTCCTAGTCTCCTCATCGGGTGACTTCTGCGGCTGCTGTTCCCACACGCTTGCGTAAACGACGATTCATTATCTGGTACTAGTTCTAAGAGGCCGTTCCATCCGTTCCGTTAGAACTCCTTAGTGTCTTGTCGCCGTCGCATTATTGAGGTCCACTGTCCACCCAGCGCGGATTCTATTCAATAGATCACCGACCCATACATATCATAGGGGGCCCGAAGGGGTTTTATCCACTGTCATTGTAACGCCTCAGCTCCCTTTTTGGGTTTGGTCGAGCTCTTTGACATCTCTGTCCCCCTCCCCCTCCATCCCGCCCGCTTGCCTACCCGCTCGCACCCGCTTCACTTTATTTTTTTTTCTTCGCATCCAAATTGTTGGTTCTACTATAGTTATACACTACATACCTCATAGTATTATTGACACGATCGCCTCGTTTTATTATTATTGTTATTGCCCGACTACCTGTTCCTTATACGAAACTCACCTGGGGTGACTAAACAGTTTCGTTTTTATTTAGTTATTTTATTTTTATTCTTTCCCACTCGGTACGAATCACGTAATAAATCTGGATTAATCCTTCCTCTTTAAAAGTACCTAGTTACCTAAACTGCCTACGAAGGAGGTACCTACCTCTACTTCCATCTCAGAAGGCGGGGCTCGTCCCAAAGCTCTTGTCGTTTTTTAATTCATTCAACTTTAAACCCAACGCCTTCCGCCTTCCGCTTCCTGCTTTCCAATCGCGCGGTAACTAAACTTAAAGGTAAGAGTTATTTTATTTTATTTCCTTCCCTTAACCTTTCCCCCCCACACGCAATCACAATATCCGACTATGGGAACGCCAGCTGCCAACCTTGAATCTTGAATCAACCGTGCACCATCCGGTAACGCCAAGGATCGCTACTCGTACCGGCGCGCATCTTCGAGACCCTGTTTCCCCCCCCTCTCTCTCCCGATCATTGGTACAGACGGCGCGCCTCAAGTTTTGTAACACGGGGTTGCAACCACAGGCACCACCTGCACTCTTTGACCCCGACCTTGAGACTCGACAAGTCGTAACATAAACCCTCTTCGACCTTCAGTAATTACCGGCTACGCGAACTACTCTATCTCTAGTAGTTCGTCTTCGTGGGACCATCACATTCGGCCGAACCAAGCAGCAATTGCAGGTGAGAGAGCGCCACGATTTACGCCGGCCTAAGCTGCACAGACCCGCGGATCAAATCGCTTAACTCCCCACGGCATCCGATCTTCATATCGGGACGATCAATTATCACTTATTTCCTCACCTTGGTCTCAGCCGCAGTTGTCGTCTTTGTTTTTACGCCTAAAACCTCAGCTAACACATCATTTTCCAGCTCAGTCGGATAACCGCAGCATTGACGACGCACTAAGCTGAGTTCGACGAGCATAAAGAAGCGCCTATATTTCCTTCGCCGACTTGAAAGAACGAAACGAAGCGACGCCACAATAAAGCAAACAATCCGACTCTTTGCGACTATCGATCCATCGGAGTATTAATCTCTACAAATCGTACTTGTCGGCTCCGCATTCTAGGCGACTTGGACTCTATTTCGGGAAGTGCGAATAGCGTCGTCTCCTCGTCCAATATCCTGTCGTGTTATACTCCGCTGAGTGGAGCGTGCACGAGTTTAATATTCCTTGGCGAGCCGAGATTACCTATATAGGCGCTCTTATTGCCCTTGCAGGACCCTTATAAATCCGCTCCTGAGGCCCGAGGCGGTGGAATCTTTAAGCTCTTAGGTTCCCTCCCGCGTTCGGTCTTGAATTCAACTTGAAGCACGTATCTCCTTAACAACACATCAACATGTCGCGATCAAATCCTCCTAATCCGGCCGGATCCCGGAAGATTTCATTCAACGTTAGCGAACAGTATGACATTCAAGATGTTGTAGGCGAGGGAGCTTATGGTGTTGTCTGGTAGGCTTGTAGATATCTTTAAAGTCCAAATCAGGTCAGATTGTTAACCAACCGTATACAGCTCGGCGATACACAAGCCTTCAGGTCAGAAGGTCGCCATTAAGAAGATTACTCCCTTTGATCACTCCATGTTCTGTTTAAGAACTCTTCGAGAGATGAAACTTCTTCGATACTTCAACCACGAGAACATCATCTCTATTCTTGACATCCAGAAGCCGCGCAGCTACGAGTCTTTTACTGAGGTGTATCTCATTCAGGTACGAGATGGCTTTCGAACCCGTGTGCAGGGCTAGTTGCTGACGGTGCTACAGGAACTGATGGAGACGGATATGCATAGAGTGATCCGTACACAGGACCTGTCTGACGATCACTGCCAGTATTTCATCTACCAGACTCTACGAGCGCTGAAGGCTATGCACTCTGCAAATGTGCTCCACCGAGACTTGAAGCCTAGCAACCTCCTGTTGAACGCCAACTGTGACCTGAAAGTCTGCGATTTCGGACTTGCTCGATCGGCGGCATCTCAAGAGGACAACTCTGGGTTCATGACAGAATACGTTGCCACTCGATGGTATCGTGCGCCCGAGATTATGTTGACCTTTAAGGAATACACCAAGGCTATTGACGTGTGGTCTGTAGGCTGCATTCTTGCCGAGATGCTGAGCGGGAAGCCATTATTCCCTGGAAAGGACTGTATGTGGCCAATTACGTCGTAATTAGACGAACCGTTTGCTAACAATGCATAGACCACCATCAGTTAACCCTGATCCTGGACGTCCTTGGTACCCCTACCATGGAGGACTACTATGGAATCAAGTCTCGCCGCGCTCGCGAGTACATCCGCTCTCTTCCGTTCAAGAAGAAGGTCCCCTTCCGAACTCTCTTCCCTAAGACTTCCGACTTGGCGCTCGACCTGCTCGAGAAGTTGTTGGCCTTCAACCCGGTGAAGCGCATCACGGTGGAGGAAGCCTTGAAGCACCCTTACCTCGAACCGTACCACGACCCCGAGGACGAGCCTACCGCACCCCCGATTCCTGAGGAGTTCTTCGACTTCGACAAGCACAAGGACAACCTTAGCAAAGAGCAGTTGAAGCAACTCATCTACCAAGAGATTATGCGGTAGAACGGCGGTCTCTTGAACAAACTCAAGATTCGGGAGAGCATTTCGCAGCTCATGCAGAACCTTAAGATTCGAGATCGCACCTCCTCACTGGCGGACTCGCGCAAGAAGCATCGCGGTTGAGGGATGGTGTTTGGTTTTGCATAGCGGGTGGCGGCGGCCTCGGAGAGTAAGCGGACGGTGATAAACCTACCTCATCGGGGATCAGCGTGGAGGAATAGTTTACCCTAAGATATAACTCGAGAAGGGAAGGTGGAGATCTTATGCCACGAGATCTGGTGTAGGATCTGGCATGACGGTGGAGAGGCCAGATGGATAAGGATATATCTTGTCTTCTCTCCGATTTCTTTTCTTTACTCTTGCTAGTAGCAGTAAAACAGACATTTTTTTCTGGTACTCTTGCCTGTAGCTTATCTGCTCATTTGATTATGTACCGTGCTGTTTGCTAGCTCGCCAAGTAAATATTGTTAAGGCTCAGCCTTGATCAACGTAGGGTTATTCGAGAATTATAGATGAATCAACACCGAACATCGATGGCAAGATGAAGTCGGCGGAGTGTTTAAGAAACTTTCTTCTTATCAATTAGTGTAAGATGCCTTAAGTGAAACCGATGATGCCACGATACGCTTTTTATAAATTCACGCAAGGCGTGATTAGCACCCGGTGTTTTATATCCAGCATAAGCTCTGTGATGTTCTTAAGCTTGATATGGAATCGGAATATCTATTCTATATGTATTTATAGGTAGGCAGGCAGGCAAGCAATTTACAGGTCTGGGCTTACGCCCTTAAGATCAAAGCTTTAAAGAGTTGAGGTACTATGTAGCTATACGTTATACGTTATATAATTAGGTAGGTAGTATAGAAAAACGGTAGGGGGTATATAATTCAAGAGTCACATCTCGGAAGACTAGGACTGGGTAGTTACGAGAGCCTCTGTTTACTCTGGCTGGTATGTAGTTGTTGCTGGTTGTATGGATTTACATACGTGGTTTACGATGGATGGCAAGGTTGGTCGATAAACGGCTAACTTAGGTATCTAGGGAATATAGAACATAGGTACCTATAGTTCGGTTAACCTCAAGGTCATATATATATATTTTTCATTCATACCAAGGACGAACTTCTTTCTCCCAGGCTGTATGAGCTTCGACTATTTATCATGATCAATTGGTAAAACCAACCAACTAACCTAGTGGAAAACGGCACGGCGTAAATAAACCGTCTGTCTGCCTCGGTTACTCTCCAGGTTAGTTATCTACGATCTCGTCTCTACTACTCCTGTATTGTTCACTTCCTTGCCATCAAAAACTAGGGCGACTAATCTCCTTCATCACTCGTACGGGCCAAAGTCAAAGTCAGCGAGCGGAATCAATATAGTTAGGTAATATATTTAGCCATTCCATCCTTGGATATAAAACAAAAAAGAAAACAAACAGCAAGACTTGCTTGCCTGTCCCTATGGAGCCGGAACGCCTATTTGCCCTAGTCATGACCTCGGTGTTTTAATATGCTGGGTATTTCCAGCCCCTTTTCCATCCTTGCCTGGTCGGGTTTGGCTCGTTAGCCGGTATACCGCAACCGTACCGTACTGCACCACGACGTGCTTCCCATTCGTTTCCTTGCTGCTTGTACAAACACTCGCCGTAATCAACACGATACATCGTGCCCCAGTCCCGCTCCATCCCTATTAGTCGTGTCAGGCCAAAGGACTCTTAAATGCTACTATCCCCATACCCACAACGAACGCCCCCTACTACCACATTATCTATCTATCCAACCAACCAACCAACCAATGCATCAACCGCCTACAACCCACATCTCCACGCCAAACACATCGAACTTCTCGCCCTCGTCGCTAAGCGGCTGGTTCAAAAACGTATCGCACGGCGCGCTATGGCCGCGGGTCAGCCCGTGATCCAGCCAGAGGCCGTACGTGCCGCCGCGGCCGCCCCCCACGGACAGGAAGCCCGTCTCGCAGAAGATGCAGTAGTCGTTGGCGCCCGTGTACGCGAAGTTCTGGAACCGGATGCTCTGCACCGAGGCTGCTGCTGCGGCCTTGCCGGTTTCTAGGTCGGTCGGCGCGGGCTGTAGCTGGCTTGCGGGCTGCTGGTCGACGCGTGGGAAGTTGGCGTTGGTGGTGGTGGTAGTGGTGGCGTTGGAGTTGGTGTTGGTGGTCGGGGAGGCTACTGTCGTTGTGCGGAAGTTCATGTTGGACGTGTCGGCGGAGGGGGGCGGGGGGAGAGGCGCGTGGAGGCTTGCGCGCCAGAGGAAGCATTCTCCTGTGCCGAAGTAGGATGGTGCTGGGTGCGGTGCTTCTGTTAAGTACGCGCCGAAGGTCTGTTGCGTTGTACGAGTTAGTTAGTTAGTCAGTTACGAGATCTTCTATGCCTTGTTCCAAGACGTATAAGAGAGATATCTACTCACCCCTTCCTTCCCATCCCGCACAACAAGAACGAACCCGGCCCTCCGTCCGCGGTACTCCTCGCACCGCTTATACAGCGTAGACAACGAGCTGCCGTCCTGGGACAAACTATACACCAACCGCCAGTCGTCCATAATCTTCAACCGCTCGGGCAAGAACGTCCTGATCTCCTCGGCCAGGCCGTGCGCCAGCAGCCGTTCGTCAGTCCGGGTGTCGGCGCGGTAGCCGTGCAGCACCAAGGGCTCGAGAGAAGGGAGCCCGCGCAGAGGCGACGGCGTGCGGCGCGTCGGCGGGACGAACGGTCTTGTTATACCGTCGCCTGCGCCTGCGGGTTCCGAATTGGCATTGGACATCTGCGCGTGGGAAGGGGGAGACAAGGGCACCTCAAGGGAGGATAAGCGGCGCCAGAGGCCGAGGATCATGCCGTAGCCGCCACCACCACCACCGGGGGAGGAGGAAGAGCCCTGGGGTGGAGGAGATTGTGGTTTGGACTCTGGGGACTTGTGCGAGTTGGCGTGGGACTGGGACTGGGACTGGGACTGGGAACGGCGGGATACGGGGGTAGAGAGGCCGGAGGAGGGCGGCGAAAGGTCTATTAGGTCGGTATCTTGCCGGTTGGTACTCATGGTCGGCAGTTGGAATTGGAATTAGGTCTCGTGTGGGATGCGCGTGAAGTGATGGTGATTTCCGATTTCCGATAGCAGTTAAACAGCTAAGCAGCTAAAAAGTTGGAGTGGATTATAGGTAACTAGAGGTACCTCTCCTTGGCAAGGGTGCGTAAGGATATATAATTCAGCAGTGGAATCATGAATGTGACGTAGCGTGGCGATAGCAGTTTGGTGGGACCTGTGTTATAGTGTATTAGGTACCTGTTAGTTGCCTGTAGGCTGTAGTGGGGGTTGGGTGTTGTATGTAGCAGTGCACTACGTCGTATTGGCTAAGGTGCAGTTACAGATGTATAGTATATATAATATCAGGGTACGGTAATATTTAGTATTGAAGGTATGAAGTAGGTATAGGTTTTAATAAGGAGATAATAGTTGAAATAGCAGGGAGAAAAAAGTAGGTGAATTTGGGAAGTCTGAGTAATGATTGTATTTATAGTTAACTAGGTCCCTATACTTTAGCCTTTAGGTAATGCAATACCTTCAAATATGTACTTGCGAATATGGAGGACTTGGACCTGGGTTTGTTTCTTGTAAACTTACTATTCCACCAATTCTCCGCCGGAACTTACATCTTTACGGTCCGGTCCGTGTGTCTCTGTGAATCGTCATCTGGGTTATTATAGTTTATACTATCACTTTAACCATTGCTTTAATACTCTCTTATCGTGATGAACGCGATCAATATCCTTGTCAACCCGGTTATACCCGCAGTTGTCTCACGAAAGCTCTAAATGATAAAACCCCCGGATTCGTAAGGATACACAATATAGTCATATCAAGATACTATTTAACTGCACGTAGGCTACGCGTAATACACCATACGCATATATCCCAATCTAAGCCCATGGGCCATAACTCTAACCTAGTCCTATCACATACCTTAGATAATCTATATATCCTTTACCATATTGTCGAGTATGCCTTGTCGTACCCCTTCCGGAGTAGGTTCCTTAGCACATACTTTAGCCTCGTAATGAAACGTCTTTTTGAGATAGTTTGCCGTCGTTGGCCCGATCGTCGCGATCGAGGTAGGCGGCTTCACCCCGCTCGCCTTCTCAACGGCTTTACCCGTCGCCTGGTCGAGTAAGTCTAACCCCTTCAACATACTATCGCAACCTGTCGGCGAGAAAACTACCACCCATCGTTCCGGTCGGCTTGTTGTCCTCTGCAGCACGTCCGCAAAGTCGCTAGCAAAAGACTCCATAACACCAGTGCCATATAGCACTATCTCTGTTACTTCGATCTGTCGACCATCCGGCAGAGCCTCGTCCATTAGCGTCTTCGGTATAATGTCTCGTCTCTGCTCCCCTACTAGGAAGAGTAGCGGGGGCTTGGTGGGACGGTCTTTGTACCATTCGCCGTAGTGGTCCAATATGAACCGTGCGAGCGCATCGCCATTCCCAGTATGCTCGCCAAAGATTTGGAGCGGGGGAGTCTGGGGAATGGCCTTGAGCGCTCGGGTCGTAGCAGGGCCCACGCTATAGACTGGTATGTCTTGGAGGTGCGGCCAAGTCTGATCACCTATTTAATTCCTACGAGTCAGAGAGAGTCAGAGACTAGGACGCCGCTGAACACGTGAGGGGCCTCGGACCTTTGCCCTCATCAACTAACTTGGCGAATGCCTCGACTGCTCTCTGCGAGGTAAAGATGAGGCCGCCGTAAGCGCTATCGGCGCTACGGTTTATCCTCCTCTCCCGCAGTAACTTTTCGAATTGTTGCATACCGTCATCTTCAAACCTGTGCTGAAGGACAGGAACGAAGATGGGTTCAAAAGAAGGGAAGCCATCATCGTTGGGGACAGAAAAGATATCTTGGTATGCATCGGTCGGCGATGACTTCGTCTTGAGGAGCAGCACAGGAACTCTGTCCGGGCTCGAGGCCGAATCCGAAGCCATAAAAGCTAGGCGATCTGGGCGATCTAGGCAATGATGGTTAGAAAAGCATCGGTTGATTTGTTTTTACCGTCCGAGCTTATGAAAGTTGGCTCATTCTAGTATGTAGGTAATTCTAGTACGGAATATGTAATTGTAAGTTACAATTTGTAACTTCTGGTGCCAAGACCCGTCCAAGACCTACAAGCTTTATCGATAAAAGGTTTTCATCGATAACAAGGTGGAACTTTCTCGTGTTGAGGAGCTATATTAGGTAAGGCTATTAAAGTGGAGCCCTCTCTTCGGGCCGTGTTTAGTAAGTGGCATCACCGGTGGGTGCCGGGATTCGCTTTCCGCCGAGCTACTGACAAATCCGCTTCAGCTCAATTTATTTTTCCTGTCAACACCTTTCGATACTGTCGCAAACTGTCATGAGCTTTCTCGCCGGTTCCTCTTTTTTTTCCTGCGCTTATTATAGGCCGGTCGTACTAGCAGAATGGCTGCCGACACGAGAGAGCCGCAGCCCAACGAGCTACCCAAGGGAGTCGTCATAGGAAAAGATGGCAAGCCGTGAGTACTTGACTTGTTAACATTATTTACTATAGGCCGGTGGCTACGTTATTCGGCCCACCCATTAACATGAGCTTATTTCTGTAGTTGTCGGTCATGCACTTCGAAGAGGGATTTTTCTACGTGGGCACAGATGACTAAATCCTCGCTCAAGTCCGGTGGTAATGCTGCGACAGGCGCTGCTGTTGGTGCTGGAGCTGGCGCGGTGGCCGCTTCTACGTTTTCGTCGCCGGACGATTGTCCACCGGACGTAGAGACGCTGGGCCGATGCACGTGGACCTTACTGCATTCAATCGCCGCGACGTATCCTAAGACGCCAAGCGCCGCCCAGCAGTCCGACCTCCGCACATTCATGGGAGTTTTCTCAAGACTGTATCCGTGCTGGGTATGCGCCGAGGATTTCCAGCGGTACATGGAGAAAGACCAAGTCAAAGTCGGCAGCCGCGACGAGTTTGGCAATTGGCTGTGCGAAGCGCATAATGCTGTTAATGTCAAGCTAGGCAAGGAGAAATTTGACTGTTCTAAGTGGGAGGAAAGATGGCGGACCGGTTGGAAAGACGGGCGTTGCGACTGAGTTGGGATCGTCGTCCGGAGAAGCTTTCCTTACATAAAACATAAAATTTCTAATTCGCGATGCCATCCTTTGGCCGAGGCATAAATCGGCTTTGATTGCTAAAGTCATTGAAGCCAATTTGCGAGGGAATTTACTCGACTTGTATTATGAATGTACAATATGAATGTACAATATATCACGATAGAAGGATGGCTGATGGAAGCGAGCATCGCGTTCTCGAATTGAAAGATACACTAGACAGCTTCACTGCTCAAGATACACATATTTCTCGCTCTCCTCTCCCAAATTGAATCTCGTCGGCATTATCCAGCTGGAGTTGACCGGGTTTCTTATTTTTTATTTGTTTTATTTTTGAAAAAGATCGACAATATGATGCGCAGCAAATGCTACTGGGCCGTTCCAGACCCGGCGGCCAGGCTAGCCGGGTCTCATCGAAAGCAGCCCGGGTTCGGCCGATTGGTTTGGTTTATTGTTAGAGAAATGGATACTAATGGATACTCTTTACTAGTATGGTCGTACAATGAGCTGAGTGAGGTAAGTCGATAAGTCGATAATGATTGATGGATGAATCAAAAATCAATGTTATCGTCGTGTAATCTTAAGGTCTATAGAAAAAAGTCAATGCAAGATGCGACTTGGAGTTTGTATGCATTCGTAACGAATCCACATGTATATTCCCTGACCGAAAAACAGGTGAAACAAAAAAAAACCAGCGAGAAATCAAGCGAAAAATCTCGATATCCATTGCATCATCGCCTGATCATCGCGAGACGCCGAAGATGGATCATGATCCACTGTAACAAGGCCCGATAATGTCGAGAACAGGCGATGCAAACAACCGCCGTACGATTCCGTAGCCCAACTCCCCTTTTTTTTTCAATATTCGTATCCTGCATTGCGATAACGGTAGAGGCTGAAAATATTTAATATTTAGTTGAAGTCCTTCCCTGAGGCTGACTGAGACTTTTCTCTTTGTTCTACTCATACTGAATCACATTCGACCAACATCAACATCATCAACCTTATAGAGTGGGTGTAGTAGTTGTTACTCCTGAGCTTCCGAGGCATTGTCTGTCAAATCAGCTCTTAGACTACTTACACTAGACCTATTAGACATCCTGATCGATATCTACTCCTTTTTACCCCTCAACTTATTATATAATTACCTAACAACTACCTAACAACTACATTATATAATACCCAACACTTTTTACACCACTTACACGCAACAACTTCTTAGATTTACTCACAACAACAACAACATCTTACCAACTCTTACCAACTCTTAAGACAGAGAGAAAAGAAAGAAAGTAAAGATTCTCACCATGACGTCCGAGGATATCAGAACCCTAAATCTGAGAAAGCCCGTCGACGTGGCTGAATACCTCTTCACGAGGCTTCACCAGATCGGAATCAGATCTGTCCACGGTCTTCCAGGCGACTTCAACCTTGTCGCCCTTGACTATCTGCCCAAGACCGGGCTTAAATGGGTCGGCAACTGCAATGAGCTAAATGCCGCCTATGCCGCCGACGGTTACGCTCGTGTGAAGGGCATCAGCGCTATCGTCACCACTTTTGGTGTAGGCGAGCTGTCCGCTGTTAACGGTATCGCCGGCGCCTATAGCGAGCACGTTCCCATTGTTCACATCGTCGGGTGTCCGTCTACCGTTTCCCAGCGCAGCGGTCTGCTGCTGCACCACACCCTAGGAAATGGCAATTTCAACACCTTTGCCGACATGAGCGCTTCCATCTCTTGCGCCGTCGCTAAACTCAATGATCCGGTCGAGATCGCCAATCAGATTGACCACGCCCTGCGCGAGTGTTGGGTCAACTCTCGCCCCGTTTACATCATGTTCCCTACCGATATGGTTCAAAAGAAGATTGAGGGCGAGCGCCTTGAGACTCCAATCGACCTGACCGAACCTGCTAACGACCCGGATCGGGAAGACTATGTCGTGGATGTCATTCTCAGGTATCTACACGCCGCCGAGCGACCCGTCATCCTCGTCGACGCTTGTGCCATCCGTCACCGTGTCCTCAACGAAGTCCACGACCTTATCGAGAAGACTCAGTTACCCGTATTCGTCACGCCCATGGGAAAGAGCGGCATAAACGAGACGCACCCCAGTTACGGCGGCGTCTATGCAGGGACCGCCTCCGCCCCGGGCGTCAAGGAGATGGTCGAGGGCTCTGACCTCGTCATCTCCGTCGGCTCGCTCAAGAGCGATTTTAACACGGCCGGATTTTCTTACCGTCTATCTCAGCTGATGTCCATCGACCTGCACAGCGACCACTGCATCGTGCGATACTCCGAGTACCCCGGCGTTCGGATGAAGGGCGTCCTACGCAAGATCGTCGACCGCCTCGACGTAACAAAAGTCAAAGCCCTCCCGCCACCCAAATGGGAGTCTCCCCCCGTCACACCCGACGTCGACGCCATCATCAAGCAGGAATTCTTCTGGTCGCGCATCGACCGATTCCTACGGGAAGGCGACATCGTAATCAGCGAAACCGGCACAGCCAACTTCGGCGTGTGGGAGACGCGATTCCCGGCAGAGGTAACAGCGCTCAACCAGACGTTCTGGGGCAGCATCGGCTGGGCAGTCGGCGCGTGCCAGGGCGCCGCGCTAGCAACCCAAGACATCGCGGGCGTAGACAAAGCCCGGCGGACAATCCTATTCGAAGGCGACGGCAGTCTGCAACTCACGGTGCAAGAGATCAGCACGATGATCCGGCACCAGCTGGACGTGATCATCTTCGTGATCTGCAACGACGGGTACACGATCGAGCGGTACATCCACGGGATGAACGCGTCGTACAACGACGTGGTGGAGTGGCGGTACAAGGACCTGCCCGCGGTGTTCGGCGGCACCGAGGAGACGGCGCGGTCGTACGCGGTGCGCACGCGCGGCGAGCTCGAGAAGCTGCTGGCCGATAGGGACTTCAACGACAGGAAGGGGCTAAGGCTCGTCGAGCTGTATATGCCGCGCGAGGACGCGCCCAAGAGTCTGATGCTGACGGCGGAGGCTAGTGCGAGGAGGAATGCTATGACGGAGTAGGGGAAAATATGAAAAGAAAAAAAAGGGGGGGAGGAGGAGGGGTTGGTTTGTAGTACGCTGCTCATGTTTCACGGGTGTTTATGACTTTGAGGAGAGGAGAGGACTTGTATGAGATATGACTTTGGATATTATGGATAGGGGTTGGCTTGTTGGTTTCGAGTTAGACGTTTCTATATGTGTGTATGTGCATTTGGGTCTTGGAAATATCTCCTTTCTTTCTATAAAGGCACGACGGAATAGATTTTATTCTATTATGTTTTATATGTATCGGACAGATAGTAATATCTGACAGTATCTCATGCCATGCCGACCTTTTCCACAACCCTGACGCTCATAGAAGAAGAACCTTTCTAAGGGTAATAAACCGCAGTCGCCACCCGTCCGTCTGCAGCTCGGTACCTATTCTTCGAATTGGTTCTGGTGGTCTTGGGACTGACTTTCCAAACGTGCCAGCCGTTCCTGGGTTTCTTTCATCTCTTTGGATATTTCAGAAAGTTTGCCCTCAAATGCCGCGTCGCCTATAGAAGTAATCATGGGTTAGTATCAAGTCAATTCCCGCACGCGTTTCCACTTACTTCCTCGCTTGGCTTCAACCAGCTTATTTAGCTCTTGTTGTATTCTGATCATTTCTCTGCCAAACGGAACGCCGACAATATGTTGGTTGAAAAGGGTTTGGATGACTCTCTCGGCTGATTCGACCGTGTCGTCGTGTCTCATGACCGTTGCACCCTCTGCTACCATAGCTTTCCAGAAGTCGGATGTCTCGTGGAGATGGGCTTCTCGAGCATCACCTCTAGGCAGATTACCATGGAGGCCATCCCATTTAGTCGTCAACACTATAACGTTGCTCAGATTCCCCTCTCCCGTACTACCTCTAAGACTACCTCTAAGAGACTGAATTAATCCTAATACCGTGTGTCGCCCTGTCGGTGGTGCCTCATTGATGTCCTGTATGTAGATGAGTCCGAATAATGGTTTGCCTTGGTGGAAACGTCGCCGCCATCCCTTGATGCGCCCAAAAACTGATACATCTTCGAAGACATTATCACCGTAGCCCGGAGTGTCGAGTATCACTATTCTATTCCCTTTGAACCCGCGTTCCACGTCCCAGACGAATGAAGGCCCTATGTCATAACAAATGAGTATCATATTCTATAACTACCACGGGATGATAAAACTGACTAATACCATAAATGTGCTCAAACTCATTCCCGCAATCCTTCGCGTTTAGCCTTGAGATGAATTGGGATTTACCACATCCAGTTCTACCCATGACTGCAATGATGATGTCTTTGTGGACTCCTTCCTGTTGGGCCTGAGGGAGCCCGGTAGATCCAGCAGGGTTCATGTTGAATAAACAATTATGGGGGCTTCGTAATGTCCGAACTGTAGAATATACTCGGTCTTACTATACGAAGTATAACGGAAGTGGTAGGAGGGAAACGGGCGGTATCACGAGACCAAAAGGTCAGTAAGGAAGATGATGATGTTCTGAGGAACCCAGAACATCAAGAGCCTTGAAGCTTGCGGCAAGGCCTGAATATATACACATTTGAGATACCTGACCGTGACAGGCAGGTAGTTTACGGGATGAAGTTCGCGCAAAAAAGAATTCACCGTTGACTTAGACATCAGACGAATATTTCGGCTTAGAACGTATGACACACTCGTGAGAATGCCTGTGTGAGCGAAGTATTCGTCTGTTATTGGTTCTCTGATTGGAAAAGGGGCGGGGCAGAGGGGATGTGGTATAAGATTCTTGGATAAGATGCATGCCTGTCTACGCGTGTAATGTTATGTAAAACATCATGACAAACAGACTTTCCAGAACAAAACGATTCGTCCCATTTATATATCAGGGAACTACGTGGGATCAAACTCCCAAGTAGGCGGCTACTACCATATATAGGAAACAAAGTTATGTCCATGTCATATAGTCCTATTTCGTGACATTTTGGAATATCTCACTATAAGATAGATATTATGATCGTATCCTTATTTATATGCAGTAGGACAGTAAAATTAACCGTAGAACTCCCCAGTAGGTTTCTATGGGAAAACACATATCAATTCCGCTGTGACGATACTAAGGCTTGGTACAATTTAGACACAATCCTAAGAATATTCACACAGTTTTGTCACATGTACCCCAGGTAGATAGGTAGTATTACAATCAGGATATGAGAACTCACTTTGACTCTTTCCTTCAACACGCAAGCCTCATACAATCAAATTGAATCCCTGTTTGGCGGCCAATCAGGTGTTTTAGGGCCTACAAGCATGTATGGCGGCGCTGATTCCATGTCAAGAGCCCTTTGTGAAGATGGACATCACCATGCAGAAGGCACAACGCGTCCGCTGAACTTTTGTTGGATTAAAACGCATATATGCCTACCTATATATATATGTGGGAGGCTCTTTTCTACATTGTCCTCGGATAGAAAGGGGTAGAGTACCTAAGGTAAGGATTTGGACTTGTGACTTCATCTGATATTTTATCTTAGTGAATTACTTGACGAGAGCAACGATGGTACTATTTGAGACTCTGGCGACTGACCCATTCACGCATATTAGAACATTAGGGCCGGAAAATTCGAGCGTCCGGAGAGTTTGTGAAGTCAAGTGCGCCGATAATGGAGAGGTCTATGCCCGCAAGGAATTCATATTCCGGGCATATGATAAAGATAAATTGGCTGAGATGGCTCAGAATGAAGCCTCCATCATCAAAAGTATTCGGCATCACCACATTGTTGAATTTTGGGGAACTCACTGTATCGAAAAAGAACAAATGTTTGGTCTTCTAATCCGCCCAGTCGCCGACAAAAGCCTTGCGGAGTTTTTCAGACAGGCGGAGGAAGAACGGTACGTTGAACACTATAAAGTCATGTGTCAACTGCCTATGTGCCTCTTCCAAGCTTTGGATTATTTACATGAAGAGAAAATCCGCCATAGGGATATAAAGCCTAGCAATATCCTCATCAAGGACAACCGCGTCTACCTGACTGATTTCGGAGAATCAAAAAGTTTTCGCGATGCAGCCACATCTAAAACACAAAGCATGGACTGCGCACGCACTGATCGTTATATGGCTCCCGAGGTCGACAACGATGAGCGTCGTGGCAGGGCTACAGATGTCTGGGCCTTGGGCTGTACCATACTGGAGATTTGCACTGTTGCATCGGGCAACACCATACAGCAATTGGATAAGCATCTTCTGGAAGGTACTTCGCATAAATACTTCTTCACTTCTCCCTACTATGTGTTGGATTGGATATATCTTCTCTTCTCATCGCCCGGTATAGACACCCAGGTTGGACAACACGTTCAGAAGATACTGCAGCTGGCATTCCTTATGCTTGATCCCGACGACAAGAAAAGAGTAACCATGAAACAGCTCCTTTCTTTGCTAAACCGTCAAGATTCGACATACTTCCGTTCTATCGCTTGCTTGGCTTGCGACAGATGCCAGGGTGCATCTAAACAGCAGAATTATGATGCTCAATTCGATTGCACCTTTAGGACAACAAGTAGCGGAGGTGTATATATACCGTCGAAAGATGGTATTACGTCCCAGACGCAAGAACCCTGGGAGGTATTCAGGCAGAGGTGGTGCAGAACTCGGTATTAAGTAGGTAGCAAGATCTTGTCAGGGTATAAGAGGTAGGTTAGGGGTAGGTACCTAGGTAGTTACAGGGGCCTGTATATCTCCTATTTAAAGGGCATGCAGCGCCCTCGCAAGAGTGTAGAAGGCAGGTGTTAATTAATAATTCACTCTACCTATTCTGACATTCACTCTATGTATTACATCCATCAAGGGTGCTCGTGTACGAAGGAGTGTCTTCTATTTTACTCAACCTTATCTTAACATCCGTATTTATACTGTGATACTTTGCAATACCTCCTTAATCTTCTGCAGGCAATCGACCGAGTCATCCCATAGATAATTGCTTTCTCCTGCATTCACCAGGCTTTTGGATTCACCTGGTGACCGTCTCCCTATATTACCCATTAAGCACATCTTGACGGCTTCTGAGAATCTTCCACCAGCCTCCGACTCCAGAGCAGTAAGTGATTCGGCTCCCAAAAGCTTCATGCGAACTTTTCTTATAGCCGGGCGTGACGTAAGCTCGTTCAGGGAAAGCCCGAGGAATTGGTAAATAGGTTGCCATAGCCCAATTTCCATCAAAACTACACCAAGGCTGTACACGTCATGCTTTTCTACGTATCCATATTCTCCATCTCGGGGAACATGAAACTGAACATCCGGATGTCGGTATAAGTCGTGCTCTCTGCGGTTGCTCGGAAGCTCTGTTCTTTCACCTGGTTCTGCCGGACGAGAATAATCGAAGCCGGAAAGGTAAAGCGGCAGCCATTCCGAGCAAGATGAAGTCGGGAATAGGACATTATCGCTCCTTAGACCTTTATGAAGCCACTTTGCCACATGGAGATATTCCAGGCTTGTTGTCAATCTCCGCGCTATGTCTATCCTAGTAGTCAAAGAAGGCTTAAAGGTAGTATGCAGCCTATCATAAAGAGATTGTGGGACCAACGTGTTTGTTAGAATAGGAGACTCGAAGACAAGTCCAAACCGGGCAAAAGTGGGATCGTGAACATAGCCAAGGGCGGCCGGAAGGTGGAGCTTTTCGGGATTCTCTGGGCTCTTAAGGAGCAACGTGACGAGGCGCGCAATTCGAATTTCAATAGAGCGACACTCCGATACAGGAATCTCTTCGTCGTAGCTCTTCCACTCTACCCACACAGTGATATCGTTGAATTTCCCGGAAACTCGTTGGTAATTGTCCTTTTTTGGATCATCTTGAAGCTTTAGCTGTGATGTAATCAGTTTAAGGTCGTCGGGCAATGGCACTTTCAATCCGGCCTGTGCCGTCATATCATTTTCACAAGACGAATCACCCTTATCAACCATTATATTGAGAGCCTTTAATCGAGCTAGTCGCTCTAAAAGTTTCTCGTTCGAGTCTCGCCAAGACCTCCCTGAATCGTCATCTTGACGCAGGCAACGGCACGATCGAATGATGTCAGAAAGCTCATCGACTTTTTCAGGTCGCTGTACGATCTCTATTTGCGTAGCCTCTTGTAGCTGTTGGAACTGACGGATTTTCTCTAATAATAGGTGGGACTGCATTGATTTATTTAATTCAGAAAACCTGGTTAACAGTTGTTCAAATTTGTCCGCGTCGAATAGGACCCAGCGGAGTCTTCTGGTGTACCTTATAGACGCGCTCTCGGCATATCGAAGACACTTCCGGAGTAATTCCCCCTTCTTGTGGGCTACCTCTAGCGGCTATGAAAAACTATCAGTTGGTTTAAACGTAACTGAAACCCAAGCCTTGTGGACTTACGTTGAAAGGAAGCAATTTTACTTGCTCCAAGGTGGAATCCCCTTGATTATCGTCTACAAGATTCGAACACGGGTCGTATCGTTGCTCGATCTGACAGGCCTCAAGTATCAGGGTTTTTATCAGGGACAAAGATTCGATATCAGCCTGCCTCCTTTGATCTAGCTGGGCACCCTGGATTGTTGTCTCATCCGTGAAGCCTGATACTTCCCACCAGTCCAGCAATTGAAGCTGTTCACGACGAAAGCGATGCCGAAGATATCCGTATTTCTGTGGGAAGTCCTTGCTCTCTAATACGAGCTGACAGCATTTCATACAGCCAGAAAAAACTTGAAAGACTAGAGATACCGCGCCCAACGCGGTTCCAGGGTCCATGACTTCTCACTCATTGGCAAACCGCAACTGTACTTTAGTGAATATAATATTGAATTGATAGGGACTATCGTATATTAAAATCATGAGAAGAGTTATGTGTTTCTTCGACGACATTGAGCCAGAGATGTCAATTTGTAGGTATGCATTTTCTGCCTTGGGGGTGGCCTACATCCTAGATATGCCAACTGGCGAATGGATAGGAAGCTATTGTTTCATTACGAAAGCTGTGGTACCCTATATGTAGTTCAATTCGCTGTAGCGATTTTAATGGTTTTCGTAGGTTTCACATAAATTAGCTAACATCACTGAATTGCGATATTCCGAGAGAAATATCGTGTACCACACATTTTAGGCTCGCATATATCAGCGTACCGTATATGGGCCTGTCTTATAAAACCATACAGCACCCTATAATGACTTATATTGTTTGGAGAACCGTCCTCCGCTTATTAGTATCTTAGTATGATAACATAAACAGGCGTAGTAAAGCTTTCTAATGTTAAGATGATATGTGATCGTTAGATATAGGCTGGTAGAACTACTAGCAAAACCTTAGGTACGTAAGGCATCTAACTTAATACCTATCTCCCATAAGGAAATTATTCATCCAGCTGTTGTTTATACTAAAGTATATTCATCGCCAGGACGATTACTGTACCAATTTGTCACATTCACATAACAAAGACATATGTATTCTAAAAAGCGGGCTGTCTAGCACCACAAAACGGCTCAGTGGTAACATGCGATGAATTCAAAGAAAAGTAAGTCTCCAAGCCCCCAAGGTTCGACTCCAGGTGTGAGAAAAAAAATTCGATATCTGTGTAAGGATGATGAAAAGACGAAGAGACTGACCAAGGATTTAACGACAACTCCCTGATGGTAAAACTAGTAGTGCCTTTGACTTACATTAAAATTTATCAAACGAATTTAACCTCACTGACTGAAGAATATAATACTAACAGATCATCTATAGGATTCTCACATTTTTTTCTTAGTCCTCCCTGTTATATAACCCCTTTCTAGTCTAGGTCTATTTTGCCCCCTTTTTTTCTGAGTAACTGTTTTCAACATTTTAAACACGTCTTTCTAGGAATGATATAGATGCTTTTGTGCTTCTGTTGCACCTATGTAGGAGCTCCTAGCGAATACCAAAAGGAAATCATGCGAATTTACTCCAAATGTAGGGGGTTTTGTGATGGAAAAGGGTATCACGTGCTTTCTACTGAATATTGCATAAGAGGTGACTATTCACTTACTAGGTAAGCATCTGACATACCATGGAATCTTCTCAATTACTTACGTAATTAGTGTATGGAGATATTTCGCGATGTATTTTCTTATCAGTTCCATTATCAGCTTCTTACGTACCTACCTCATATCTTACGTGCCTACCTCATAGGCAATATTCCTTCGAATATTCCTTCGGAAAGACAAAAAGCCTAACCTAAAAACGAAGCCAACGAGATCTCATCTCATATCTCATCTCATAACAACTACACATAAAAGCTAAAATGAGCAGCCAAAACCTACACCACATCAACTCGCTCGCCGAGCTGCAGTCGCTATTCTTATCAACCACATACGTAGCCGTCGACTTCTACGCGGACTGGTGCGGACCGTGCAAGGTCATCGCGCCGCACTACGAATCGCTCGCCAAGCAGCACGGCGCCCCGGGCCTGCTTGCTTTCGCCAAGGTGAACGTGGACACGGCGCAGGACGCCGCGCGCGCGTTCGGCGTTACCGCCATGCCCACCTTCCTCTTCTTCAAGGAGGGCCGCCAAGTCGCCGTGAACGGACAGGCTGTGATCTGCGGCGCCGACCCCCGCTCTCTCACCGCGGCTGCCGAGAAGCTGGGCGGCTTAGCGAAGAAGCGCGTGGCGGAGTCTTGAATGATTGAATGAAGACTGGAGTGGATTCGGGATGGGATAGGTAGCATTGTGGGAAGGGTAGGATAGGGAGGGTGTTGACTGATACTTCAACTAAATATGGAACTAAATATGGGCGTTACAGGGTTACAGTTAAATAATTCATACTGATACTTCCAAAATACGCGCCTAAGGTGTCAGTGGTAAAACTTTAGTTATACCTAATCAAACCAAGGTGAGAACATAGAGTTTGAACCATCTAAGAGAAATGGGGGAGAAGTTACAGAAGTGTGTAATGATGGAATGTGCCCCCACTGCACCGCCAGGCCTTTTGTGACAGGAAACTTGAAGTTTATGGTCATATACCACCGTCCAGGCCGCCGTAGACGCCATGTTCATGTGACCTTCTCAGTTATCTTACGCTGCCTAGATGAATCTATTTTTACATAAGTGCTGTATCTAAAGTACTTCCGTATGCTTGAACTATTATATGCCTACCTATACTTACCTCTATCCTACTTCCTGGTATTTTAAGTACTTATATAGGTAACTTATAGATAGCCAAGTCGTCCTAATATGCTCCAGATTGTCTTATATCTCGCAGAGTTCATCTTAGAGAAGCCATGATGATACTTCATTTTTCCCGGCTCTTGCCATTGTAACAGTTCATCTACCTCGATACCTAGATAGGTAGATACTAATTTTTTCCTTATTCCCGAATAGCCCTATTTACAGATGCTAGGATATTACTTTAACATCACTTAGAAAAGGTTGTATGTTAAACTCCGCACCTTTCAGATTTAATTTCATGTTCTTCCCGTTACTTAGGTGTTCACGAACTGGCTCCCCCTCCTAGATTAATAGGGAGGGTAGTACAAATTACCCCCCTTGCAGCAAGCCGGTTTAGCTGGGAAGGGTCTATATACTCTGCTTATCTGATGATATTAAAATGGTATCTCTAAAAGATATCAACTCAATCTTATAGATATCGCTGTTGAGTACCTATTAATAAGATAAGCCTGTTTTGGATAGGTATAGTAACCCTTGACAGCCACAGCCCCACAAGAGAAGTTGGAGATGATGACAGCACAGATCTTTGGATGACAGGTAGTCAAAGTGAAATTGAGGCTCTTAATTGGGCTCTACCCACGAACTTAATAGATACCTGATATAATTAATTGCGAACGCCGCACCCACGCCGTATGGCTGGCTCTAACATGGGGGAATTAGCTAATGGTGCGTTGCATTATATATCAACGGTAGTGGGTCTTAAGGCTTGTAAGGGTGGCATGCAACGATGCCACGTGCCGAGGTGAAGTATGTATGTTGGTTAGACCGATCGATCAGTCGATCCAGGGAATAAGAACCAACAGCCCTTTTTCTGGGATCGTGCATCCTTGGCCTTGTTTTAAGCCGCACCAACTAGTGAAAACGACTAACGACTAACCATAACAGATAAGCTTTATCAGATCTCATGTATATTAGATCTCATGTATGTACCTAACCTAACCTACATACATAATGTACGAAAGCTAGCGTGACGTGGCGTCGCGATATAACTACGCCCCCGTACTAAATGCTAGTCGTACATTTCGACAAATGATATTTAAGGGATTTTTAGTTAGAACGTCCATAATATAATAGCTAGTACGTTGATATCGGCCAAGGTGTTTACGAGAGACAGACATGGGTGATAGTTTCTATCATCTATAACTAACAGGTATATATCGTTGTGGTATTATTTAGTCTTCAGGTAGTGTCGTTGACTTTATATATTAAAGCGGCAAATAAGACGCTGTCTAATAAAAAGGCACCGTGCGAATTTATCAATGAACTTCTTCAACGACCTATTTTGATTAGTTAACTACCTACCTAACTTTGGATTGTCACTTTATTTATTCGGGAATCATCTCCCCAGATTCAGCCGACGAGGGAGATGGGGTATATTTCAAGACCTGCTTTCTGGGACAGTGTAACTGAGGAAGTGCAGACCTGACTGACCCCTTGATAGCAGGGTGTGATTATTATTTAAATTAAAATAACTAGAAGCGACAGATATTTGATATAACTAATGCTATTCGAGGTGATAGTTACATGTAAGTATACACATGTACAAGCCGGTTAGTTGCTTAGGGAGGTGCTCATGCATCTATATACCTGGTAGCCTTTTATATAATATTGGAGTTTATCGGTCCGGGCTTTGCACCCTATCGAACGTGATTAATATAAATATTTGGGCAAGACTGTCTCATGTCGGGAAATATTCACCACTAGGAGATTTAACCAACCATGACTTTTATTACTCCAATATCAAATAGTCTCACCTAAGGACACCGTATCGAATCACCTGACAAGCACGTTGGCTCATGTTCGTCTCAGTGTTTGTTTATGCCTGCTACTCGGCTTCCCGGCTTCCCGGCTTCGTCGTACTAATAACAAATCCCGACGTTGCTATACGGCCGATGCGTAAGCCATGCATGGATACCTGTCCCATTGGCACTTAATGATCAGCATATTCATGCGCTGCTCAGGGTTCAACCTTGATAATTCTCTTATGGCCGCAGGTTGTCCACGCCCCATTCTTGGTGCTACTCGGAGGGCTTGGCTAGCGAGTAGTTTTTATATAAGTCGACGTTAGACCAACGACAAGTTTCTAAACTCGACTTTTAGGCTTAAGCTTCGATGCGAGGGTAGCTAACATGACGACCGACAATTCTATCGACGCTCCCGGAACCCCGTTATGCTTTCAGGTTGTGGCATTTAACCTTTACATCCTTCATGTCACGTTTCATAAATCACATTCAAAACCGTTAATGCTTCATTTCAGTTCGCTCAGCAACCAATCCAATTGATTACCTAGACGAGGGAAATCCCATCCACCATTTGATCGCGAGGTCAAGTGTCTAGCCCGAGTATACAAAGGAAAGCTAAAAATCACCCGCCTCATACCCCGAATACAAAAAGATATTACACTATGTGAGCCACACATACAGTCTAATTAGAAAGCTGTAAAGATCAACCCCCCGCCCAAGTTTCCCTTTTTCTGTATTCCAACACCGTAGCCGCCCCCCCATCCCGGTCGTCAAGGAGGCAACAGCCCTGTCGTAAGACATTTCGTGGTATAAAAGTGAACGAAGGAAAAGTTAATGCCGGGGCCTTATTCCGATGGTGTCAGACGGCACTGTACACCATTGTTGAGCGTCAACGACAGCGTCAGCTGCTCTCTCCACTCGGTCGGGTCTAGATTCTCGATCCTGGAGAATGCGTGAAGTAGGCGCGCGATCGTATATGACGACTCGGTCAAGGCAAATTTCTGGCCCGGGCAGATCCTAGGACCTCCATTAAAGGGTAGGAACTCCCAGCCGGGACGAAGATTCTCCCATCTCTCGGGTCGGAACTCTTCGGCGTCCTCGCCAAAGAATTCCTTCCGCCTGTGCATTACAAAGGTGCTATATGTGACGACGTGGTGCTTGGCAACAAAAAGGGGCGATTTTCCATCGGGGCCACCACCGACGGGAAGAACGGTGTCCTTGTTGGCCATGCGGCTGTTCGTCGCAATAGGCGGAAAAAGACGGAGAGCTGAGGCAACAATGTTAGCCGGGCGAAAAAAACACATGGATTGATTAACGCTTACTCTCATGTATCACATATCGAAGGTACTTCATGTCCATGAGGGCTTCGTACGTCAGGGGTTCGCAGTAGTGTTCCAAAACGTCAGCCCGGAGCTTATCCCATACGTCAGGCCTTCGGGCTAACATGAAGAAGACGAAAGCGAGTAGACCAGCAGTGGTGTCGCGGGCGGCTAAGAGCATGTTCACGATCTGGTCTCGGAGCATGATTGGATCCTCAGTATCCTTGGCGAGCTCGTTCAAGAAGACATATTTTTCACGAACACCCTCATCCTTGTCCCTCTTCTCGGACGGAAGCATGGATTGCTTACGTCGGTATTCGAGAGCTTGCGCAACGAACTTGTCAGCATACGCGTGGACAGTACCGCAGGAGTCCCGGAACTTCTTATCCCTGTGGGTGAACATGAGATTTCCGAGCCGTAGACGTAAGATGGTGCCCTGTTGAGCGTAATCAAGCGCGTGGTGAAACGTGGTGGCAGCTTCAGATGCGTTCTCTGACATCAGACCAACGGACTCTCCGAACATGTATTCACTGTTGGAGTCGAGTACCTGTCGAGCGGCGTTAGTTACCGGATGTGGAAAAAAGAAGCGAGTCCACGTACCATGCGGAAGAATAGCTGCTGGAGGTCTACCTCATAGTTACGGCGTGCGATGAGAGCAATGAGCTGATCCACGTGGTGGCCGAAGATGCTAAAGTCCGTAACTTGAGCCCGAACGAAGCTTGGCCGGATCAGAGCACGCTGGTGAGCCCAGATCTCGTCGTCCGTGGTGAAGATACCTCGTCCCAAGAGCGGAGAAGCACTCTTCCGTCGTAATGGTCCCATACCGAAGTCCTGGAACTGGAAGGATAGAACATTCTGGATGAGCGTCGGGTCGCACGTGTTGATGGTGGTCCGGAAGTAGGTGTTCGTGGTGAAGGTGAGGCCATTGGCGGCATGTCGAGTCCTGAGGAGGTCGAGGAAGCCATGCTTCTTTGCTGCCCCGAGGTTCTGCATGACGACGTCAGTCCCCATGATGGGGTCCAGCTGGGGCAGCTTCTTGGGAGGCAGACAGGCGTTCTGTCTCTTCATATGACTTCGACGTCGACATGTTAAAAGCCACTGGACTATCGAGAACAGAGAGAAGACGACGAGGCCGAGGGCGCCTAGAAGCAACGAGAAAGCAGCCATGACGAACTATTGAAGAGATGGGAATACAGATACTATACAGATACTATCTGTTGCATGTCACACTGCAGGAGGAGAAAGATGGGGAGCGGAGTAGGCAGCGAGCTTACTTATACTCTCGGGGGGGCGTCTGGCCAGTGCTGCTTGGTTGGACCCAGACCGTGACAAATGAGGTAGAACATGGCTCATGGCTACATTACATGGCTCCCGCTCGTCTATCCAAAGCCCGATGATGCCCAGCGTCGAGGCTTTTCGGACGAGTACTTTTTGGGGCGGCAAGGGGATCCATAAACCATCTTGGCCACCGATACGCACGCATATTCAATCGTCCACGGGTTTTGTTAGCCAGATTATCAACTCGGTAGAAACTTTTCTCTTTAACCAATCAGGCAATTGTCCATAAAGGGTGCATCCAATCAGCTTGCTCCGCAACAACCTCGTCACTGACATGGCATGCCCAATGGAATGCCTGTCACAAGGGATAAATGCACAGGCGGTACAAGTGTATGTTCTGGGAAAGTACCGTTGCCGGCCGGAGGACGGAAAGCGATGAAGAAATCTCTCCTCTCCCCACCCTTTCTGACCATTTCTGGAACAGGCCGTCGGTCTCACGGCTGATGGGGAAAGAGAGGAAAGAGAAAGAAAAAAAAAAAGAAGAAGAGTCATAGCTTTTCCCTGGACGATAATGGGGCTGATATTGATAGCCTTGAAAGGTAGCGAGGCGCGCCCAGGACGCCAGCAAGTCTGTGGTGAGTATAAATTTCATTATACGAGTCAATACAGTATACTATTAGTACGTCATGTTCATGTGCTCTGTCTTGCTGCTTATGTGTCTACGTAAGACTGGCGGGCGTCCTATTTCCTGGTATTTGGGGTGATAGATGGGTCTTCTTGCATTTGCAGTTATCGCCAGTCGCCAGTTGGGCTGATCGTTGATCTACCTAGGGGATGGATTCGGCGACCTCTTTCCGACTCAGCCCCGGACCCTATGTTCGCCCCGTTGTCAGTTTTGTCAGTTTTTGTCTCAATTCATCGCAGGATAAAAAGCTCAAAGGCAACAGGGTTTAAATCATAGCGGTGTCACCATTTCTTCTGTTATAGACAAGGGGCGTAATCCTGATTCCTCCATATAGGCGAGGTGTGCCGTGAAGCTAGTAGGAGCTTTCCTAATAGGATTCTAGGAACATGTCGTGGTAAGAAGTGTTTTCGTGCTCTTACATAGTACGAAGCTCTCTATCGACATTCCACGACATACACGACATATGATAAGGCGGCTGAAGCTCGAAATGTCCGAGTCCACGTGGCTTTCTGCTGAACAAAAAAAAAAGGAGATCTCGTTGGGATGTGCATACACATACGCAAGTATTGATCCTCAGCGATACCGCCCACTTGGCACGATGCTCTCACTCCCGTACTGACGATAACTAAGACCAGGGTTGTACGGATCCGTACCGCTAGAGGCTAAGCTAGTTAAGGCTTAGAGACGCCACGGTCTGGGGGGTGTTACCGAGAGCTCGGAGAGACAAGACTAAGGTGAAGCCAGTGCGCACATTGAAAGAGTCAGCAGTAATTCAGCGGTAATAGGCGGTGTTCCCGGGATGCGAGTCAGCAAAAGGGGGGGTAGGAAAAAGGAAAAAGGAAAATAAAAGATTGGGAAGAAAATTATCCATGATCCATCATCCGTCTGGATTTCTTCATGGGCTGGTTCCAATCGAGAGGTCAAGATCAGCGAATGGCTCGAGAATCCACTGAAAGAAGCGGTATGTTACATTGAGCTGCTCACCATTCCGCTGTTACAGCCCGAACACTCTCTCGTCGATGTCAACTTCCCTGGCCTCTAAAGTAGGTACAGTTGTCACGTCGGAGGGGGTGAACGGTGGAGTTGACAAGGATATATAAAGCCCACGCAGGGGACTTCAGGGTTCTGACAGGGCCTTCGGCTGAACCTGCAGCTTTTCCCCATTCTTAGCTTAATATCCTATAGGGTGTTCCAAGGGGCGGCATGGGACTGCCGGAATTCCTACTACTACACTAGACTGCGAGACTGCGACAATGTACAACGGCACACACACATAGCACACATTACTTGGACTTACAGCACACTTGGAATGATGCTACTGCTACTTTTGCTTCGTAACCGCTTCGTAACTTTTATGCCACACTCTGCTCCCGCCACTTGTTAGGCGGATTTCCCCAGTCACCCCCTGCTTCTCTGACAGGTTGGGTTCTTTAGCGATAGTAGAGTTGCAGAGGGCGGCAAGGGTTTCATGATTGTGCCGATGTGCTTGCTGATGTGCTGGTACCTCTGGTCTAGATATGAGGCCATCACCGTAATAGGAAAGCTTCTAGCGCGTTCATTGGAAGACACGAAGAAGCAAATGAGAAGTGGATCGACCGTGAAAGCGACCCGATTCCGAAGCCATGGGAAATAAATATAGTTTCCGTTGTGGATTTTTAACCAACAGTATCGCGAGTGGGCTTTCAGGGCGTCCAATTACGCAAACCAAACTAAGACTGTCTCATTCCAGTGAGATGGTTGCTGGGTCTCTTGGAACGCCACCATCTCATCCCGAAAGCCTGGCTGAAAAGACCTAAGGATTCTCTCTCCACTTCGAACCGGTAGAATAGGGAACTCGTGTGTAGGTATATAATATACATATACATACAACGTGGCTGTGACTTACATATGGTTCATAAATACGGTTGAAAAACATTCGAATGTCCCCAACTGCATCCTGAATCCTGAATAAAATTCTCCACGAGCATCTTACATACATACCTAACATACCCATAAGTCATACAACATACAGCCCGTACGGTCCATAGGTTCATACCTAGGTTCATGCGGTCATAGCCCAGTACCCATCACAACTTATCCACTGTACTACGAAAGACCCAAACTTTTTTTCTTTCCCTTTTTCTTTTTTTCACGATGACTACTACAATCAAGAATGTCGCCGTTGTAGGGGTCTGTTTAACTCCACTCTTGCCATTTGCCCGAAATAGGTGCTGACTTATTTGATTAGGCAACTGGGAAGATCGGCCGCCCAATCGTGGATCGTCTTCTGTCTTCGAAACTCTTCAACGTGACTGTTCTCACGCGTGACGAGAGTCGACGGCGCGAACTCCCCGCAGACGTCGTCGTCAAGGAGGTAAACTACGATTCTATTGAGTCATTGGAGTCCGCCCTCCAGGGACAGGATGCGCTCGTCTCCGCAATGGCCTTCGAAGCCATTCACGTGCAGAAGAATCTTGTCGACGCGGCGGCTAAGGCCGGCGTAAAGAGGATGATTCCTTCTGAGTACGGCAACGATCTCTTAAATCCTAAGCTAGCTGATTTCCCCATCTACAAGCCCAAAATTGCTATTCGTCAGCGTTGCGAGCAAAAGGTGATGGAAAACCCGCCGTTCTCGTGGACTACGATTCACAATGCTTCGTTCCTCGGCCCAGACTGGACCCTAGACTTCATCGTGGACGTGAAGCAGCGTAAGGCTGATATCAAGGACGGCGGTGACGTATTGTTCTGCGCTACGACATACGACGACATTGCCCAAGCCGTAATTGGCATCTTGACCCACCTGGAAGAGACGGCTAACCGTCCCGTGAGGATCTCTAGCGTCAACACGACCCAGAACGAGTTAATTGCCATAGCCAAGGAGTTGGGCGCTAGCGACGGCTGGGATATTACTCATTCCAGAACCGAGGACCTGGAGACCAAGGCTTTGCAACGCTGGGCAGAAGGTGATCATAGCGAGGAGGTGATCGCTATGTTCATCAATAGGGCCTTCATTGGCAAAGGTTGGGGCGGATACTTCCCGGTCCGGGATAATGATTTGTTGGGTATCAAGGGCCTAGAAAGAGATGAGCTGAAAGCCATCATCAAGCTTGCTATGGACAGATGATCTGTGTACTCGCTAAAAATCAAAATGAAGAAGACTGTCTGATGGGTATCACTCTGTATATTCTGTACTAATATCGGTACTAATATGTAGATCCCCTTCCCAGCGCTATGGCACCGGGTCACTTCTCCCCACACGACACATATTTGAATGCCGGTATTGCCCTCTTGTTAGAATCCTGCAGAACTATACACTACTTTCCTTGACCTCCTTTACCTAGACATTTCCCCCAAGACCACTACAGACCACAATGAAACCCTAAGTATTGCTCGTCGGAGCGCCTTTTGCCCTTCTTGCCAGCCAGAGCTTCGGATCTGAGAATAAACAAGCCAATCCCTACGAACCTTTCCTCGATTCGGGGTTTCTGTACACAACAGATATATACACACACCATATAACTCCAGAACAGACCGAACGCTGAGTGCTTTCAGCTTTTTGCATTCCGTTTCTATTACGTCCTCCTGCATTATCCCTATCCCGTTTGCGCCAGCCCAAGAGGGAGTTCGTCAGGATATAATTAATATCGCGTCCCTTATTCCTTATTCTATATCTCATATTTCCTTTTTTTACGTACGACCGTGGCCGGTGTAGCTTGACCTCCGAGGGCCTCTGGCGAAAGAGTAGTTCCCGTGGATCTGGTTCTCCTCGTCGCCAATTACCGGACGTCGGTTATCGGCCTGGTCTCTCTCGTCACGCACTTCACTAACAACCTCGACCTCAACGTGTTTGTGGATATTGTGACTGTGATTATTATTATTAATCGGAGAGCTGCCGTTAGTGCTCGTGTCGGTCCAACCCTTCAAATCTTGCATCTTCACATCATCCACTATTCGTTCCTCGCTCTCATTAAATGTGAAGTTCGTGATCGGGTTCGCCGTAGGGGGCCCGCGTCGTCGCCAACTCTTATTACTCCCACCGCCAAAAGTACGAAGGTCGCTTTTCGATTCCTTGTCGGTCAATTTCTGCTGTGAGCGCACCGTCGTGATTAGAGAGCCGAGAACCGGACTGAGCCACATCTTGATGAGAGGGAAGACCATCGGTAGGTTAGTCGTGATCACGGCAACAAAGGTCTCCCGAACAGCCCACGATCCGGCGAGTTGAGCTCCGTTGACCGGATCCTATGCGTTTTTATGAGTCTACGTACTCTCGCGGATGAGATATCAGCTAAACAACTTACAGTTACGATGAGAGCACAACGCAGAATAGCACACGCGACGACGAATAGACCGCCGCTGAAAAGAATGATTAAGCCAAACTTCTTCGCAGGCTTTAAACTCGATTGCCAGAGCATGGGAACGGGAATAGAAATCAGATAAAGATCGGTTAACACGTTCATCGAGAGATACACCCAGATGACTTCATTGGATACAGCAGGTTGGCAGGTATCTGGAGAGCAGGTCAGCATCGCTTCATATTATTGGGTTTTAGAATATCGGTGTTTAGAAAGTTGCAACATACTTCCTGGGTCAGGATATATTTGCCAGTTCTTGTGGAAGGGTCGGCAGCCGAGGAAAAGATTCAATATTACGACCATGAAGCTAGCGATCAGAAGTCCAAAACCGATGTAGATACGGATCAGGTAGGTTCGGTTCAATCCAGCCTAGATTAACACTTAGCTATGAATTCAGAGTAGTAATAATATAAGAAATATGCTCTTACTGTTAACCGCATGTAAAAGACCAATAGAGATGCCTTGAGTGACCAGAGGAGCACAGAGTAAGAAGACCATCCGGCGAGTTGGATCTGGGAGCCGGTGACCCTGAAAAAGACCAATTAGTACACGTTATTTAATTGACCCTTCTCCCTTTCCATTAGTTATCTAAGTTTACATACCTCGTCTTATATTCCTGACTGTCTGGAGATAATGCAGCACGTTGCTCGTCCGTCATACCATTATTGGCCAAGCCTTGGGCAACAGCACCGACTGAGTAGGCCAGACTGGTCTCGACAGCGTAGAAGGTCTACATGATGATGATGGTTAGTCAACGGAACATGATCATTCCAACGAGATAAATCCGAGTAGTAGAGACTAACCACTCCAACCCAAGCCAGATAGTCGTCGGCTTGTAAATGCTTCAGCCCTACAGCTTTTATACGGGCGTATGTCCGAAGTACGGTCACGAGAACACCGACTGATAGTAGCGTCCAGGCCTCGATTGTGAACTGGCGCATGGCGGCGGCGGCGGCAGCAGCCGCTGCTGCAGCTGCTGCGGGATCTGTTGGTTGTTCGGCTGAAGACATGATGCAGAAGGAAAGACAACCATACAGGCAGCTAGGCAGGCAGGTAAGGGAGCGGCGAAGCAAGCGAGGGACAAGATAGATTATTGAAGGACTTTGACTTGACTTGACTCGAAGTCGACTAGCGAAGACACGAAACGGACGGAGGCTAGACTTTAGTCTTTTACCTTTTACTATTCGGAGGCTGGCTCGCCCAGAGGACGGAATGGAATTCGTATATACTGAGATAAGACTAACTACATATAATTATACAAGACAAGGAAGAGAGACGTGCTTGTGAAAGGCGTTGTGACTGGTCAATTGATGATAGTCCGCAGAGATCGGGGTATCAAACATGGGTTCTTATGAGCCTGAACCAGAATCTGGCTGTATTAACATGGGTTAGATTAATCTCAAGTCATTATCAGGGTGGATATCCGAAGCCACATATATGGATACCAAGGTGACAGATCGGCACGAGTCTCAACTGTATCTGGGAGTTCAATGCGGTTATCGTCTGTGTGACGACTTATATCACTTATTCAACCGTCAACCGCATGGATCACACACGTTGACACGAAGCTGATTTCCTTAGCAATGCAGGAACGAGATGTCAGGATGTCAATCTCTCTCTTCGAATCTTGGTAACCTAGACGCACTTCAATATTGCCACCCAAGCTACATACCTACCTACCTACCCCTAGCTGCTCTCTACATAGGTAGCTCCTGTATCGTGCGTCGTGCGTCACATAAGCCCTAGAACTATTATGGTTGTTTTATTTTTTTGTGAATTGAAATGTGCCGTGTCCCTGTGAGACGTATTATCGAACTCCGATTCTATGCATAACGATATGCACGGCTAAACATCACGGTTACATTCCCTCAGGGGCCGGTAACTTGGCCTCTGCATGTTTGCGGGACCCCGGGCTGGCTTGCCACTGCTTCAGCCTTCGGCGCAAGAATTAGTTCCTCCGAGGCGTTTGGCATTTGGCCCGATGAGACGAATGAGACGAAGTAAGGATGAAGGGCCGGGGGGAAGGGGACAAGAAGAGAAGATGACAAAAACAAAACAAAAAAATCTCCTAGAATGGTTCACGTGGCTTATGTAAAAGAAAAGAAGGAGTCGAATGCTCGAGGGGGGCTAGAACTTGAGAGAACCGAAGCTAAGAAGCTAAAACAGCTTAACTACTAGGTATGTACCTAAGAGAGCCTCAGGTTAGGCGGGATATCTTATCCGGAATCCCAAACTTGCCCGCTCGGTATTAACTAACGACCTAAATCATGCATGGCGTACGGATACATAATAGCTCGGGACTTGTGCTGTCTATGTACATACATACACGTAGTATATCTATATGTACATACATACATACATGTAGTATATCTATTATGTACATACCTCCTAATGTACATGCATGAAACCCTCCATAACGTACAGATGCAGGCTAGAACATCTACTTAACGCATCTACGAATCTACGACAAGCAAAAACAAGATGGTGTGCTGCACATGCTGCATTTACATATGCAAGTTGGTATTAAGCGAGGACTTAAAACGACTTAGACGACTCGAACGTAAGCAATAGTGGGAAATTTTCAAATTTTTCATTTACATGTTGGCGACGCTGCAATAAATTCCCATCTCGTAACTGGTCAACATCTGGTCACGGATCCCCTCAATTATTTATCGTCTTAATCTGTTATCTGTCCTGTCATCGTAATCGTGGGCAATTCATCGGTCGGTCTGTGCCGATATGTAGATAGCTACGTTATAATTGGGACTTATAATTGGGACGTGTTAATAAGTATCTGATTAAGTATCTGGATTTCGTGCATATCACAGCAGCAAAAACTGGGGATCGCCTGGACTTAAAGGGCTATAAGATGGTCAGTTAATGACATGGCTCCAGGGAATACACGCAGATAGGTGGGGTTTCGAGAGACGAAAAGGACGAAAAGGAGGGCTAAACTACTATTACGTCTATTATGGATTGCGACGACGGGACGGCTGAGACCAAACCAAGTCTAAGAACAGCAAGCGATCGACATGGATCTTCTCGGCTGATATACTCGTTTGACGTAGGCGGATTAGATTACCATTTAGCAATTCTCGCCAAGAGTGTGGAGGGTAGCCGTTTCGAGAACCACTTCATAATCTTAGGAGGTAGTTAGTCTGTTAGTGTACACTACCTATGGTAAACATCACTCCCTGTCATGCCGTCGCCCCCCCAAGGGACCCCAAAGGGACCCCAAGACACGGACCCTGTGTACCCTTGCTTCGCACCGTACGACTAGGTAGGGGAACGACAGATTAGAGCGGGCCATCGGGATGTTGGACGAGACGAGCGATGCCGTTTCTTGCTCAGCATGCTTGGTACTATGCTATGGTGCAAGTGCAAGGTGCAAGGTGCAAGGTGCCAAATAGGTCGAGGCCCTCCTACCGCGTGGAAGAAGGGAGGGTAGGAAAGGCTATCTCTCTCTCTTTCTCTCTGTCTCTATCTCTCGATTACATACCTACTTACTATGTCCTAGCCCTCGGCGCCTTTGGTGCGTTTCGCATTTTCAAGTTTATCCTATGACTTTTATCCCGCCTCCCGGTTCGTTTCTATACCAAGACGCCATTTTGCTTGTTTCGCGTAGGACACGGAACGCCCATCGGATAAAGCACCGAGCAAGCCTTGCGTAAGTGTATCACCATGGCCGACACAGGCTTCGCCGAAAAGCGCGATGCCATCGCTGCCACAGAAAACATCACAATGGAGAAGCTGGACTGCGTCGTTGTTGGTGCTGGTAAGTTGATGCTCCCTCTCCCTCTAGTCCTCCGTCTCTCTCTTTCTCTTATACACGTCCCTACCAAAGGGCATCATATAATATATAACATATATCTATGTATATATAATCGTGAGGGCGCATAACTGACCCCGCCGGCTTGGCAGGTTGGTATGGATTAGCTGCTGCGAAGCAGTTCCACGTTACTCAACCAGAATGTTCGCTCGCGGTGTTCGACTCCCAGTCCAGCTTGGGCGGCACGTGGGCCAACGATCGTCTATATCCAGGCTTGAAGAGTAACAATCTGCTGGGGACGTTCGAGTATCCCGACTTTCCCATGGACACGCCGACCTTTGGTGTCAAGCCGGGCGAGCATATGCCGGGTGGGGTTATCAATAGCTACCTCAAGGCGTACGCGGCCAGGTTTGGCATCACAAACTTGGTTCGTCTGAGCACCAAAGTCCTCGTTGCTGAGCATCAGGATACTGTCGAGGGTGGTTGGGTCTTGACGATCCAGCCGCCGAATCAAAGCGAGACCAAGGTCTTCGCACGTCGAGTCATCTTCGCTACCGGTCTAACTTCAGAGCCTTTCTTGCCGCACTTTGAAGGAGAAGAGACCTTTGGTGGTAGAATATTCCATGGCAAGGCATTTAAGCAAAATGCCGATACGTTGCAGACCGCCAAGAGAGTTACGATCTTCGGCGCCACCAAATTCGCCTGGGACGCCGTGTACGCTTACGCCACCGCCGGCGTAAAAGTAGATTGGGTAATTCGCTGTGAGTGTTTTCGTGATTATCGATATTGATAAAATCGTGGTGTGGCGTATTAACCGATTTCAATAGCCTCTGGCCACGGTCCGTGTTGGATCGCTCCATCGTACGTAACTCCACTTAAGAAGTGGATCGAGAAGCTCGCCAGTAAGTCGTTGCGATGTTGCAATAATTCATGTGAAGCCCGAGAAATGTTGCCTAACACATGTGAATATAGACATGCGCTTCTTGACATGGTTCAGCCCTTGCGCGTGGGGCGATATCGACGGCTACGGTGGAATTCGTGGCTTTTACCACGGCACTCCTGTTGGACGTGCCATCGTTAACTCCTTCTGGAAGGTGTTAGGCGGAGATGTCATTAGTCTCAACGGATACGACTCTCATCCGAAGACGGCCAAGCTGAAGCCTTGGACCAGTGCTATGTTTACAGGTTCAAGCTTCAGTATCATGAATTATGATACCAATTTCATGGATATTGTCAAGAGCGATCTCGTCAACGTCTATGTTAGCGAAATCGACCACCTCAGCCCAGGAAAGGTCCACCTATCCGACGGCACCGAGTTCGAGTCCGACGCTCTGCTCGCGCACACCGGCTGGAAGCACGTGCCGCCCATCAAGCTCCTACCCGAAGGCATCGAGGGCGAACTTGGTGTTCCGCATGCCCCGAACCCGGACGCGCCAGCTACCGACCTCGCCAACAACCCCGAGTTGATGGAGCGCGTAGACAAAGATATCCTCGACCGCTTTCCTCGGTTGAAAGACCCGCCCGTATGGAACAAGAATTATGTCCCCATGACTGAGCAGAAGGGGATCATGAGTGATGATGATGTGACCCCCTACAAGCCGCTCACGCCGTACATGTTGCACCACTTTATCGTGCCTCCATCCGAGCGGTTCCTGCGTCCCCGTGACACAGCCTTCATCGGTATAGTGTCCAACTTCAGTAACATGATCACCGCACACTTGCAGGGACTATGGATCAGCGCCTATTTTGCCGGGAAGCTGGAACAAGACCCGTCGACGGCGGTTGGTGACGCGAAGGCAATGGACAAGCTTCAGTACGAGACGATGCTATACAACCGCTTTGGAAAATGGCGCTATCCGACCGACGGCACGAAGAACCCCAACTTCATCTTCGACGCCGTTCCCTATCTCGACCTCCTACAGCGCGACTTAGGTCTTAACATATACCGTAAGAAGGGCTTCCTGGCGGAGCTTTACGACCCGTACGGGCCTGAGGACTACCGCGACGTTAATACGGAGTGGATGAACAAGTACGGCAACATGAAGAAGCTAGAATCTCTAGACGACAGCTTGAAACCTTTAGACTCGCAGGAGCCGAATCTGAGCTAGACTAATTAATCTAGATCTTTTCTATGTGCTCTGGGAGCAAGCACGGGCGTGTGCTTATGAGGGTTGTACTTCTATCTGGGCTACGGGAACTACGGGTTGGGACGGGAGTTGTCTTTTGAGACGATCTACTAAAAAGCACTTCTTGCTGATTCTTTTCTTTGTTTTTGTTTTTTTTTCTATACGATATTCCGCTGGCGCGTCAGTATGATGGGTCATTTCTTTCCTCTGTCCAAAAATTATACTTGTACAATTACATAGCATGCTTTTTTTTTTTCTTTTTCTCTTTTTTTTTTTCGAGTAGAAACTAGAAGATACCCATAATCTAGCTACCAACAGCACACAGTGAGGTTGGGTAGGTATGCATAATACTATTGACGCAGTGCAAAACACGTGCAGCTAACCCAGCATAAGTCTTATTCACGTGCGATCTTGCTGTCTTGGCGTACGAAGTACGAAGAGTGATTACACAATCGAAACGTACCTATTGCCTCCCAAAAAGGATAGGGGTAAGAGGTAGTTACCTAGGTACAGGTATATAGAATACAAACTGAAATAAATACACACTGTAAGCCATCCACTCGCTTACACGTCGTATAGGATATAACCTAGTGAAATTTCTACCCTGTCTAGCATACCAAGCTCTTACTATGTATCCTAATATCATGCAACACTCGAACCATGTCATCGAATGTGTTACCGACAGCAAGGAACTTGCTGCATAGCTCCTTTTGTACCTAGCAAGTAATGTGATAATTTATGTAGTATATACTCCAAATCTAATGTCCGTCTCAATGCAACCAGTGATATGACACGCATAACAAAAAGGAGAAAGGGGACAAATAGAAAGAGAGCTACGTAATTTGGAAGTAACCTCGAGGCTCTGTCATGGTGTCATTATTGTTCAAGAGCAGAAGAGCAAATTTGAAGAGGCTTATAGACGATCGATCAATGATCGACGACGCAGCTTAGTAGTTAATAGCTAATTTCAAAAGCTGACAAGACCAATCATGGACGGCCGAGCCGACTTCGGAAGGCATCCCACCCCGACCCAAGCCACTAGAACAGACGATCCCGGGCTAAGACACGGGATCCGGGGGCCAACGGGATCTTAATACATAGGGGGCTAATGTCGTGCTACAAAGAAGAGATTTCTTTCGCCAATAGTTCAACGGCGGCCCTATTGCATATTGTCCAGCGTTAGAGATAGGAATTAGCGTACGTAGCTATTCCCTCGGCGCCGCGGCAACAACAAGGGTTGAAGCCTGAAGGTCAATGCCACAGCAGGGGTCAAGGGGGTCAAAATGTAAACTCCCAGACTCCACATCGCATCGACGATGGGGTCTTTTTATTTATGCTTATTGCTGCGCCCCTTTTTTGTTATACACGAGGATAATACACTATTCCATTATGTATTTGATCACTAAGCGTGGGGTTGCATGGGAGGTCAACCAGGTCAAAAAAAGAATTTGCCCTAGTTATTGCTTTATATACAATTCAAGTCCGAGCGTCTCCAGGGAATAGTAGCAAACCTTTCAATGGTCTAGACTATCAACCTAGCTCAGACCAAGAAAAACCATGTCTATTTATTGTTTCTAGGATGCTATCACCATGGATTGAATCTTGGTCCCAACTACTAATCGGGCCCTTCAGCCCTGTCGCAAAAAAGTAAAAGCTCTACTACTAGGTAGTTCAAACTACTATAACAGAAGAAAGAAAAAAAAAAGACAAAAAAAAAACAAGACAAAAAATCTCGGCCGAAAATACGGAATGGGTGTTGTTCATCGTTGGAAATACTACCTACCATTCCCAGCACATTGGTAATGCGGCTTGCATCGCTTGCATCTCTTCTAGCCGCATACCTACATGGAATTTTCTACGCGCACAACAGGATGCAACGTATAGGGGGTTATGTTTCTGATCTTGCGCTTCTCAATCACCCCGCAGCAGCAGCAACAACGGTGAGCACAGCGTTTACCGAGGCGTCGCATACCTAGACAGACCAGGCAGATTAGAGCCCTGCATCGGGACGGAAGTAAGAGCAGTTGTAGTAAATACGCCGACCGAGTCAACAAGTATGTAGTATACATACGAAGTAGGTAGAGGATAAAAACTACCGCGAAAAGTGAAAGCTGCTCCAAAATACAACGTTCCTTGAAACGATGAACTGCTAAGCGATTTGTCAATTGACATTGACATTGACATTGACATTGATTGACGTGAACAGCTATTATGCAATGCATGAGGAGGAGGAGTTTTCTTAACCCCGCCGGGTTCCAACAGCTGCATGGGACGAACGTCTGCAAGACATCGACGGTTGGAAGTTCACGTGTGAATGGCGACATGGAAGAAGTTTCGTCTCCTTTTCCATACATACATTAGGTATTCTGTACATACATACATACTTTCATCCCACATGCCAAATCCCAAGCGATGGTAACTACCTATTCCGTACCTAGGTAGATAACCCCTCGGCTAAGCAAGGGGAGCTTGAGCTGCGAACTACATGCACACTTGCCATATGTAGGTAGGTAAACATCGACATACATATATGTAAGAGCATGTCCGTTAGGTAGGAGCATGCGCATGCGGAAGAAGACCATAAAATCTTGTTGTTATGTACAGAATACCCATAATGGAGATAGCGAGCGTGCATTAGCCATTAAAGCCTACATTAATGTATTGAAGTTACAATACATAACTACCGCTGAGCATAACCCATACATAGTTGTGCATCTGTTAGCGGGGTTACGGTCCGCAATAAGCGCAATGAGCAAGTTATTCGGGCCATATACAATGTTACACGGGCGGGCCTTAAGCATTTAACATCTCCGCTTCATCTTTTCAATGTTCAAACAAATACTTTGCATAATACTTTCATCTTTCAATGATAGGCGAAGTTATTTTAAACATCAACTCCATTGAAAGCACTGACACGCGGGAGCGACCGCTTAATACCCACATAGAGGCTTTTTTAGTTAATTAGCCCCAACCAACATAGCCTTACGACCCCGTATATATAATATGAGAGGTAATAAAAGAGATGATACGGATTACGATAACCGACCAATGAATTCGTCAACTGCTCCATGAGACTATAATTGTGATAGGTAATTACAATAATTATAAACGCGAAAAGGCGAAAAGGCGACTGGCCATAACTTACTCGTATCCAATTCAAAATACGATTTCGCCGCAACGATATTCTGGCTCGCCCAAACCCGACAAACTTGAGGTTACTCAATTTCCACGTTTAATAAACAATCTGACAATATGGCATATGGCATATGGCTGCCACGAGGGCATCTGTTATTGTCAACGCCGCGTCCCTGCATAACCGCGACCCTTTGGAATGGAAGCCATGGTTCGGTTTTTAACGCGTGTCTCAAATCCTTTGCCGATCTCGTTGAGCCTCAAAGTTTCAATGTCATTTTTATTCAACGACGAATTGTAAATAGATTCATACATAGTTCATTAGTATTAGTTATTCTAACTATCGATAGATAATTACTATCGTCGAATCTAGAATGACATCTTATTAGATACCTAGATATCTACGCCACCGTTAGCTCTATCAGGGGATGTTTTATCATCGTTATCTATGTAGCGCCTCTTATTAGTAGTTTCAATCGCGTATAGTTTAGTTACCTATGATAACTAATGATAAAAGCAAAGAATGCGGGATGATCAACGCGATAGCAAGGCCTTAGTGCTGATTCCTTGTCTAACATGTCCTTTCCGCGCCATTGGCGTTTTTTTCTCCCACTTCAATTTCCCGTTCATCCTGTTTACAATGTATCTTGACATCATCACCGCTGCGATCCAAGGCGGTAAGATATCTACGACTGCGAAAACCTTGCGATTTCAGGTATCAATTTTCTTATCACCAAGATACCTCCTAATGCAGCCCGTTTCCGACCTGTCGTAAACTCGAAAAGCCAATATTACCTCGTGTTGAATTGACCTCCCGCGACGTGGCGGATGCAGAGGTTAGCATAAGCAAGGAATTCACCACCATGCGTTCGCGCCCGTACACGCCGCCACCTCCGCTGCCACCATTGCTCGCCGAATTAGCCACATTACTCCCCAATCGTGAGCGCAGAAGCGGCGAGGGCGACAGGGCGATATCATTGTCAGATCTAGATCCTGAGACGAGTCGGCTGTTGCCAGCCAAAGAGCGACCGCAACACTGTGTAAGAGTGCAGGGTCGATTGGCGCCAGTGCGTAGCGTGTCCGTTGCCAACCTGCGATCGACAAGCCAGACACGTTTCGACACGGCAGTGAGCGGTACTCCGACTCCGACTCGGCCCCGGAGGCGACGGAGCTCAGACGACCTAGATAAAAACGAGACGGGAAGTGAGATCCGGGAGAGGGATTCCCAGCTCAGAGGCTATGGCATTGGCGGACGAGGCAATATCCGCGAGTTCCCTCTCTTATATAAGATTAACGTGTGCTTGAACGCTCATACTCGCAGCAGGTCGGCCAACAGAAGTCATAGGGACTCAATCCGAGTCTCCCATATCCGCGCTCTCGCTCTTTTCAGGTCCCAGCGTAACGACGCACCGCTCGTTCTCGGGGCCGGGTGCGGATAAGAAATTTAGTTTCTCGGGGTTATTGAATCGGATTGAAGAGCGCAGGGGGAAGGAGTATTTGAATAAATATCAACGATAATGCGGCGCATGAGAGAAGTCTGACCCGGGCCTAGGGATATATCACGAAGGTTTTAATACGGGTTTATATATAATGCATAGGTAGCTTTGATCTGAGAGAGGCAGGTCTAGCTGAATTAGAATATACAGTATATAACATAATATTAATTGAAGACGTACCGCATTGTTTTAGGTACCAGTTGTCTTAATATTTATGAGCTTACCTATATTAGAATTTCCCAAGCCATCTATCTTGCTAATAGATAGGAGAATAATTAATCAAAGATATTTCGGTAGAGTCGGTGCTTAATATAGATACTCGCAGCTACTAGCGAATATATGTTTCTATAAAACTTCAGCATGCTTAAACTGCTAGTTTCACGAAAAGGGAGTGAATTTGACAAACACCCAACTAATAGTTTAGTAACCATAATAGTATACCCTTAGACTTAACTCTAAATTAGACTTAAGCCAAACTGCTTTGAGGCCCTATATGAGCCAAGGTCCACTTCTAGGCTATGACGGTCCAAGGCAACGTTTTGGAAACCGGCCGATTAACGTGGAATAAACTCTTCGTTGTTAGACTCTCCTTAATAGACATAACCATAGATTCTTACTAAATAATATATTTATCATATAACTACGCACACGGTTCGTATATACTTGGTACCTAAGCGGGATTGACCGCTAGGTACTAATTCACAACCTTTAGTCCTTTTCCAATACTAAATTACAATCCAATACAACAGACCACTCCTTATCTTAACCCTTTACTCCCTATTGCATATCTCATATGAAGCCGAATGTCGGTGTATAGAGGGCTTTTGATTGGCTTGATTTGGTCAAGTGGCCGCTACGGTTCATAGTGTATATTAAAAGCGCGCAATTCGTCGACTTAATCGGAATATTGGTCAGGCGGTCATTATACAGTTACAGTCGGGCACATGTGCACCATGCCATCTATCCCTCGTGACCGAAACAACGTCGGCGAGAGTAACGCATACGGTTCGAAGATCTCATGCACCATATTCCTAAGCTACCTACCTACGTAGAGAGCTACCACCCAAATTCATTAGTGGAACGGCGAAAGGGTGTCTACGTATTTGTAACTCATCGAATACCTAGGCAAGAGAAAGTCGTTTGCTTTAAGTTAGAGATAAAATATATATTATTTCACGAGGCCAAGACTTAACCATCCTAATAAGAAAGCTGCCAGCTAACCCCTATAAGAAATTCCCATACCCACTCCTATGAAGATGAAAAGGACGGAATTTTATATAGCCAAGTTAAGCAGCATTATACTTCAAAGTTAGTATAGGTAGTTCCCAGATACAAAATTCTTAATATGCTCCTTGACCATTGCCTTCATCGTCGACACAGTCTTTGTAGAGTAATAGGCCACGTCGGCCTTCCGCTCGGCGATAAGTACTTTCATTCCCAACGCCTTACAAAGAACATAAAGACATTTACCTAGTAGAAAGCTTAGCTCGAGTAGTGCAGCATAAACTTTTGCTATACGTAGGTACCAATAGTGGCATATCCAACGATTCCTGCGACTTCTTGTTCGAGAGAATACGGCGGGTGGCCGTTTGCAGTTTGCATCTTGGATGCGATGCTGCCTTGTCTTTTCCATGAGTTTTTGCCATCCTCGTCCACAGCTCGGATCTCATTGTGCAACATTATAGTCTTGCGTCTAGCCTCGAAATACTTATGTTGGAGTTAATAGGATGCAGCTATCAGCCCCTTTCCATATCCACGACTAACCAAGCTCAGCGCATGCCCAGGGACTGCCAAAGACGTCGAGCCAAGGCATTTTGCCACTTTGATGCCACGACGATGACACTCTTCAATATACTCATGCGTCTGCGGGGCCGTATCGATATCTTCAAGCGCCCGCCATATGGACTTCCTCGAGTAGTACAATCACTTCGTGAGTTGAAGAAGGCAGCCTCTTGGGCAACTTTACCGTATCAAACGCCATGACGATAAGGACCAAATAGTGAATGAGAAGTAATAATCAAATTTTTTATTGCAAAAATCTTATGCAACTAGCTGACCCTTTCTTTCAAGGCACTTAAATATCGAATGAGAGGGACGTGTAGGTAACAAACCCACTCCTTGTCTAAGAATAGGTATACTTAGGTGTACGCTCATTATATGCGGATTTAAGGAGAAGTACTTTGGATAGATGTTTGTCTTGAAGAGTTTCATGTACCTTAAAGTCACCATGCAAATCCAACTACCCTCCTATCGCACTTTCAAAATTGACCTAATCCATACAGTCTCCTGTTCCTAGATTCCAATTCCCCAGATTACTTTCACATTGTTTCCCACGTATCCTATAATTGTGTGAGCTTTTAATAACGTGTAAAGAGATGAGAAACCATACCAATAGTGAGGACAGGGCTGCTAAGAACTCTGAGATATCGTGATCATCCTCATTCTTCACTCCCCAACCATATTGAGCCATTTTAATCGATTGGCACTTTACAATTACCAACCTTTTTGCTTCTATTAGTGGATAATCTATATCGCATCTTGAAGTGTGGAATATGACACCTCTCATTGATGTGGTGCTCAATGAGTTTGTAACAGCATTGATTACATCAGGACCTTTACCCACTGATGATCTCCGAAGCCTGCTTTGCAACCTTGGAGAATTGGAGTTGGAGTCCTTTGGGGATTTTGACGTTTAACTCATGGGAAAGAGTCCACGCCACGCCACCCTTCCAACTTTGCGAATTAACTCTTGACTAAAGATGGCGGGTTTACGAAGTTAGATGTCAGAAGTAGGCTGCCCAAGAGGTACATATGTAGGTCTAAGGCATATGCATAGGTAGGCAGTAGGTAGGTAGGTATATCCAGGATAGGGCGAAGACAGCAAATGGAGATTGGTCCAATTGCATGGGCTAATGTGCATATTGCAACCATCTCTTATCTCGGCTTAACAATCACTGCTCTGGCCTACCCTCCCATCCCCTACTCAACCCCCTGCCTTGTTCGTCCCACACACTTTTCTGTGTGCTGCCATCTCCGTCTACTGCTTCATCCACGCAACATACTTAATTATTTTAGTCGATAACTATATTTCCTCAGATAGTACAATGGCGGGTTCGAGAGGACCAGACATGCAAGTTTCCAATGACTCGGATCAAGACAGAGAGACTTTAAGCTCTCACTTAATCCTCGAACCATCCTTACACCCTCGTGTTAATGAAGCTAAGCTATCACGCAAGATAGACCTTCGTGTCTTGCCGATATTGTTCGCGATATACATTGTAGCATTTCTAGATCGGTAGGTAGGCGCCATAGGTAGTCTGTTGGGAAGTATTATTTAATTCTAAACGCATTCAGTGTCAATATTTCCAATGCACTTACGTTGGGGTTGCCCGCGGAGCTTGGCCTGGTAGGCGACCAGCCAAATATCGCCCTCACTATTTTCTTTGCGCCATACATCGTCTTCGAGATCCCATCCAACATCCTTATGAAGAAACTGGGTCCTCGTATCTGGATCTCTGCGTGTATCCTAAGTTTTGGGGTTGTGATGATCGGCCAAGGATTCGTTCAGAGCTTCGGCGGGTTGCTGGCTACCAGATTCTTCTTGGGGCTCGCCGAGGCCGGCATATTTCCGGGTAGTTTCTACTTGATTAGTTTCTGGTACGAGAAGGCCGAGGCTCAAAAACGGTTTACAGTCTACTGGTCAAGTACGATTTTTGCTGGGGCCTTCGGAGGCTTACTTGCCAGTGCCATTGCTAATATGGACGACATCCGAGGCCTTAGCAGCTGGAGATGGGTTTTTATCCTAGAAGGCATTGTGACCGTTCTTATTGGCCTTTTAGCCTTTATATGCGTCACGGACTTCCCAAGAGAAGCCAAGTGGCTATCTCAGGAAGAAAAAGAGTTATTATTACAGAAAACGGGGGCCAACGAGTCCCATACAGTTCCTGTCACCACAAGAGATGTATTGACTTTCCTAACGGAACCTAAGCAATGGTTTGCGGCCGTCATGTACTTGAGTAAGCCTTTATTTATATACCCAAATTGCCCATACATTAGGTAGGTAGTTACTAATTTTCAGCAGCAATATTAATCCCCTCTTATTCCATTGTATACTTCCTTCCGACTATCATCCAAACCCTCGGCTATACAACTATACAAATTCAACTACACTCGGTCCCCCCATTTGCGGCAGCACTCGGTTTCACCATAGTTATAGCCTATGCCTCTGATAGGCTTCAAATGCGTTCGCCCTTCATCTTTCTCGGCCTCATGCTACTAATCGGCGGGCTTGCTATCCTCATCTCTGTTCACGGCGCCACACATTTTTCAGCTGAGTACGCGGCACTTTGCCTTGTAGCTATGGGTTCCTCTGGTGTTGGAGGGAATATTGTTTGTTGGTATGTGATGAATCTACGGGGTCATGTGGAACGAAGTATCGGTTCTGCGTGGATGATTTGTTTTGGAAATATAGGCGGGATCATTGCTACGTTCCTCTTCTTAAAGAAAGATGCGCCATACTATGTCTCGGGCTACTCGGTCTGCCTTGCTATGAGCGCTCTTTGTGTGGTCTCATGTGCTTCATATGGCCTGCTTATCCGACGGGAGATAAAAGCAAATTTGGAGTATGAAATAGGCGGAAGTTCGAAGAATCAGACTTTATATTTGTAATAATTCTACTTTCCTATTTCTATTTAATAGTTCATTTAGTCTAACACATAATAGTTTCAGGAGGTATCCTTGCCATTATAGACCCTGCTTGTATCCCTTGCGTCCGACCCACCCTTCAGAACAGGTCTTCTCTGAACTTCCAATGATTAGCTTCGATGACATCCGCCGGCAAGGTCCAGTCCTACGGCGCCGGTTTCTTCGGGAGGAGATCTGGATAGTCTTGATGGACGCTCCATAAATGCAAGGATATCGGGACGGTGAGGATCATGGGGTGCCGTTCTGCACCGAAGTGATCGACCAGGTTTATGAACTCGCCGGGATCGATGGCATCGTCCATGCAAGCCGGTATTTTCCCGTAGTAGACTTTGGCAAGGTCATTTGGTAGGCTAACACGCAGCTCTCTAGAGCTGTACTACTAGATTAGTATATTCTATCGACCACATGAAAGTAGATAGAGGCTTACAAATGGCTCCGGATGCTATGTGCCTTTGACTGAGTGATTGGGTCCTTCTTTGGTAGCCTACTAGACGCTACGAGAGCGTCCAGGTATAATCTGACGAACTTCTCGCGATGCTACACGAGATCCTCTTTCAGTAGGCGGCGCTGGAAGTGGTGAACCCTCCAGTGCCTCGGTCGGTACTTGCCTAAGTTCGGCCACTCGGTCCTTACGGTGGGCAGGTCATGCTCGCGCATGTACTGTTCAGCGTGCGCGAAGGTTATGCGGGCTTTATCCTTGTGCCACTGGTGCCGAAAGACTGAGACCACGGTCTTCAGGGGGAGGTTCGCAAGTGCAGTGACGGCTGTCTGATGCTGAAGTGCCGTATGAGATGGCTGTACATTTTCAAACGACTTTTTGCCGTCCTTCACGGATGGATCACCGTTCATATTTGACAGCTGCTGTCAGTATCGATGGCATAGCAGTGTTAAGGAACCGGGAACCGGGAACTGGGAAGTCCAATTCCAAGTTGAGAAATTAAAATAATTAAAATACAATTTTCAACTTATTATTCACATGTGGAAAGAATTGGGAATTATGAGTTGAGATTTGAGATTTGAGATTTGAGATTTGAGATCTGAGAGTGGAAGTTGCTGTAGTTGTTGTTTGTGTCGGATTATTACATATACTATTGTATCCGTAAAGATGATATGTACGTACCTAGGTACCTATGCATCAATCGGAATCGCGGGGGGGAAAGCTCTAAGAAAAGAATAATAATAATAAAAAATCGGAAGTGACGACAACGAAGCTCTACTCCAAATTTAACACGGCACAAAATGTCGACAGAAAAACCGAGCGCGCTGCGGTCTATTATAGCAGGCGCCACAGCCGGCGCAATCGAGATTGCTATTACATATCCAGCCGAGTTCGCCAAGACAAGAACACAACTCAATCGCAAATTAACTGCCGGTGAGAAGCTCCCTTGGCCGCCCTTTGGCAAGCAGTGGTATGCCGGTTGCACCACCTTGATTATCGGCAACTCTGCCAAAGCTGCCATACGCTTCGTCTCTTTCGAACAGTATAAGCGTCTCCTTGCCGACGAGAATGGTAAGGTTTCTGGTCCTAGAAACGTCATCGCCGGTTTCGGCGCCGGTGTCACTGAGTCTCTACTCGCCGTCACTCCCACCGAGTCTATCAAGACGACCCTTATAGACGATCGCAAGTCGCCTAACCCACGCATGCGCGGTTTCTTACACGCCGTCCCGATCATTGCGAGAGAACGAGGTATTCGCGGCTTCTTCCAGGGCCTGGTACCCACAGCCGCGAGACAATCGGCGAACAGTGCTGTGCGATTCGGTTCTTATACCACCCTTAAGCAGCTTGCCGAATCATATACCGCGCCTGGGGAGAAGCTCGGGACGGTGGCTACCTTTGGCATAGGGAGTGTATCAGGCGCCATAACCGTAGCTGTAACTCAGCCTCTCGACACGATTAAGACTAGGATGCAGAGCATCGAGGCGAAACAGGTCTATGGAAATAGCGTCCGGTGCGCCGTCTTAATCTTCAAGCATGAAGGCATCTTGACGTTTTGGAGCGGAGCCCTGCCAAGGCTGGCGCGGCTGGTCATGAGCGGTGGCATAGTCTTTACTATGTATGAAAAGAGCATAGAGCTGATGCGGACATTGGACCCGGAAAACAAGTACATATAGACGTGGGAGAAAGATTCTTCATTTACCTAGACAGATACCCGGCAACACAGGGATACGTGATTTGATCATGTCCCTTATATTAAAATCGGAAAATGGGGTAGGAATTAGCTGTTGAATAGTTTCAAGACTAGCAGCTGTGGTATTAGTTGGTACAAGAGAACAAGAGATGCACGCAGGCCTCGAAAAGAATAAAAAGGGCCCGAACGATACTATTTGACCACCCAGTGAGATTGTGCAATATCCGTGACCCTGAGTAGAATTGATTTGCTAACTCTTCTATAATCTATATAATACGTGTTATTGTATTCGGACAATGCCCTTCACCCGCAACCATAACCTGTCCAAGTAGGATCGGGTCGGTGCCTCCTCAAGCTCCTTTACCAAATCTGTAAAATACGTCGGCTTACTTCTAGGGCGTAATAGAGAGCCTGTAATGGGGTACTGCATTTATTTCAGTCTTAACACTCTGCAAGAAGAAGGAGAGCACTGGAGCTATCGGTCATACCGTTTTCTTATACCGGTTATTCAGAAGTGAGTATAGCGCTTTGGCTTGTTTCAGCTGGTCTTGCTCGGATAGACCAGAAGAAGCTTCAAATCGCTTGCGCAGTACATCTTGAAACTGGATCTGAGGTCGCAAAGTGTCTTTGGGCCATTGGGCGAGAGCCCGTAGAACGTGGTGCTGAGCGCTCTATAATCATGTAAGTAAATATAACTATACGAACGATCATCGCTAAGTTAACTTGGATATGACGATATGACATTAACATACGATTGCTTGACGAGACATTATTACATACCCCCTCCTAGTAGTTGCGATGTGATGTCTCTTAGCGCATCGACAACTTTACGTCGTCAAGCCATAGAAATTTAATGATAATAAAATAATAATCAATGACGGAGCGAATCAAAGAGCTTACCGCTGCGTATCGATAAGGAACACCATTAGTTCAAGATATCGTACCTTAGGTATGTACGGATCCGTATCGATTACCGTAATAAGGGTTAGGCCTAATGGGGATAGAATAACCTCCGGTGGCAGGCCTCCAATAGTTTAATTCTCTGAAATTGCCGAATTGATTGTTAGAGTTTGAGTATGAATGTGGCTCGTGCGCCCAGCTGGGTTACCATTCTTGCCATTGCGCTTGGGGCTGTCAGGCGCTATTGGTCGGCTGGACCCGTAGAACCTTTTGCTTCGGCGCTGTTCGATGTACAATACCTAAAACATCCCTGCGACCGGGTGCCTACGAGTTCATTGCACTGCATTTACTATGTGCGGGTGAACTATCTTAGGTTAGGTACAATACGTAGTCGCATCACTACCTTCCCTAATCCCGCCGCCGCTTCTGTTCTGCCCCCGTGTCGCATGTCTCCCTTTTACTACCATCAAACTTCTTCATCAAATCAATCACTCATCTCTCCATCTTTTTTCCTAGTCTTCAATACCACTCACTCTCCTTTAAAGACTAGGAATCTATTTCTGCCCTATTTTTCTCTTCTTGTTCAATCAATAATCCTGCGACGCGAATATTTCCTTTACTAGCCGGAATCCGGAATCCGCCACTTTTTGCTACTCCTTCAACTGTTTCATTTTGGTTTCTACCTACACCTTAACGATGTCCGGACGTTACGAACGGGTTAATACCCAAGATGACGAGCCTGACACCCCGATTGCTCCCTCTTCATTACGACCGCAGTCGACACCTAACTCTCCCCCGCCTTCATTTCATTCGCGGGCCTCGTCCGCTGAAAGAAGAAGGCGAAATGTCGATCCTACGCTAGCTGACGCATTCGACGCCGAGGATGACGATAGCGATGACGACGAACCCGACGACAGACAGCGCCTAGTCCGAGGGAACTCATTTCCTATTTCAAACAATTCTACTAGTCAGGCTTCAAATGGAGGAGATGCGCGACCATCTAACGGAGGGCAAACGGCGCAGTTCTCTTCCAGCGGTACCAACGCTCAGCATGCTGGCTCGAGAGTGTACGGCGGCGGGATACAATCCGATGGCGTCTTTTCCAACATGATGGCTCGGCCGGAGAGGGGGGAGAAGGTCGTGGAAGAAGCACCTCCGGTATGTCTTGGCTGTATTGTACTGGCGCGTCACGCATCACTAATGATTTCTTAAGACATACGAGCAAGCAGCTGCAGACGCCGCACCACCATACTGGGAGACGACAATCCTAGCGCCAGGTCTTGGTGGTCCCGATGATGTTTACATCGATGGAATGCCCGTTGGCTCAGTATTTAGTTTCATATGGAACGGGATGATCAGCATGTCGTTCCAAGTGTTTTTTGTTGGCTTTCTCCTCACATATCTATTACACTCGACACATGCGGCAAAGAATGGCTCTCGTGCTGGGCTCGGTATCACACTTGTCCAGTACGGTTTCTTCATGAAAGGAACATCTTCCGACTCGGGCGGTATGGGCGGTGCGCCTACAGATGGATATGCGCAACCTCCTGACCCCAACAGCCATGACTTTGATCCCAACGCTGTTACTACCAATAACGGCGAGGAAGATTCGGGCTTTGGTGATATTGTAAGCAGCGAATGGATAGCGTATCTGCTTATGATTGTGGGTTGGTTTATCTTGATTCGGTCAGTTAGCGACTACATCAAGGTCAGGAGGCATGAGCAGCTCGTGCTACAAAGCCCAGACAGGGGCTTGGGTATTCCGATTATCGCCGAGGGTGAAAGACCTGAAACGGTGGTTTAAAATAATATTATCGAAGTTCCTGTCCATCCGAAGTTGATGGTGTATTCTCAGATCAATACAGCAAACACGATTATTAGACAACTTATATCAGGATTCGGGCATGGGTTTAGGCGTACGGAGGGTTCTCTCAAAACAACGGCGTAATGGGTCCTGGGAATATCATTGTCTTCCTCTGCGAACGACCTAGAACTCCTAGGGTTAATCATGGATTTTAGGATTCGGCAGAGCGTTTCGAAGCAATTCCGGTGTAATATATACATATATCATTATCTTTGCAACTATAACGGGTGAGAATATAAATGGCCCCACGCAAGCACCTGAGTGGGTTTAACTAAGAAGATCCACCAAGACCCTGAACAAACCCGCCTGGACCCAGATCTACTAATTACCTACATATACATTTTAGCTTCCCATGGTACCTATGTAAGTTAGAGTTTGTATCCTAAACCACCGATGTCGAGATACCAGGATACCTGATGTATAGTTTATCTATCGATAAGCCTAAACAAGAGGGTTTGGGACGTGGACGTGGAGGTAAGTGCGGGTTGTAAGTGCCCCGCATCGCGTAGATGTCAAACCGAATGAAATATGACGAGATGTTATGTCATTCAATTCCATATATCGATCATTTACAACAAATATATGCTAAGTTAAACTCAAACGAACTCTACCGAACCATCTTAAACTTCTTCGTTTCAACCTATTTTCGAGACTCTATTAGAACAACTCTCGGGCTTTCTTCCACTACTCACAGTCTCACGCACCTTACCTCTACATAAACCTACCGACTTAGTCCAAGACGATTAACTATAACATATCCAAACTGTCTCCTAGATCACCGTCTCGTCTCTCGGCTTTCCTAGCCCACCTCCGCCCGGTCCAAAGCTCGATTCGATCTAGACAATCAATGAACATGGCCTGGCACAATTCCGGCACCACCAACGCCGACCTAGTCGAGAACCTCTGGCGCAACAAGCTCATCACGCAGCCCGTTGTCAAAAACGCCTTCCTCAAAGTCGACCGCGCCCACTACGCCCCCTCGCAGCCATACGAAGATAGCCCCCAGCCCATCGGCCACGGAGCCACCATCTCAGCCCCCCACATGCACGCCCACGCCGTCGAGACCCTACTCCCCTTCCTGCTGCCCAAAGTCAACGACGACGACCCGGGCGTAATCGGTCAACCCGGCCGGCCGAGAAGGGTCCTCGATATCGGCAGCGGAAGCGGGTACCTAACGCACGTACTCGCGGAACTCGTCGGCGAGACGGGCGTGGTCGTCGGGCTGGAACACATCCCCGCGCTGAAAGAGCTCGGCGAGCGCAACATGGCCAAGTCGCCCGAAGGCAGGGCGCTGCTGGACTCGGGGCGCGTGCGCTTCCGCGTGGGCGACGGGCGGAAGGGGTGGTCGGAGCCGAGTCCCGGGGAGTCGCAGCCGGGCGTCGGGGGCGCGGCGGCTCCGGATGCGGCGGCGAGCGAAGGCGAGAAGAAAGACGAGGCGGGGGGCTGGGACGCGATACACGTCGGCGCGGCGGCGGCGACGCTGCACGACGAGCTGGTCAGACAGCTACGGAGCCCGGGGCGCATGTTTATCCCCGTCGAGGCGGGGAATGGCTGGGAGGAGCAGTATATTTGGACCGTGGATAAGGACGAGCATGGGAATGTTACGAAGAAGAAGCTGTATGGGGTTAGGTATGTGCCGCTTACGGATGCGCCGAAATGAGGGAAGGGAAGAAGACTTTGGGTTGTTGAGGTTTAGGTAGTTTTATGTTTATGTGTTGTCGGGGAAGAGATGGGAGACTCATTCGTTCGGTCGGTCGTTCGTTCGTTTGTTTGTTTACATCATTCCCTATTCTAAGGTATGTTCGTTATTTTTCTTCTGCTAACTACCTATTTACGGGATATTGAGCGAACTTGTTAACCTGTGAGATTCTAGAGGGTGTATATTAGTGCTGGAGTATTCGCGAACCCTCAACTATTAATTATGCGCAATGCAGGGTTATCCTGGGCACAGCAGTGTATGTATCTAATGCCTCTCAAATATTTAATTCGACATCGTCGGGTTTAGTTATTTGGGCGAAATGCTTATTAGTGAAAATTCCTGTTGGTATGTTAGTAATAAGAGCCTAGTTCCCGTCGTAAGCAATCTAGAGCCTGGTTACGGCGGTTCCGTTATAAGTGTTTATAGGTTTTATTTATAATAAACTGCGAAGCAATACTAAGTCCTTGCCTAAAACAACCATGTTAGCATCATCGATGTCTAAAATCTGGTCTGTAACACTAGAGCCTAGAGCCTGGTATTTTGAACGCCACGAATGGAAACTGTGTATTGCCCCTTAGTTGATATTTACAGCGTTACAATACAACTTCACCAGGTTAGACCCTTGATTAATTTAGTTTATCTGTAAGGGGAATCGGCCTTGATGATAGCCGCCAACTCGGGTTCCCATTTGTCTCCATTTGCCAGGAGCTTCTCCTTGTTGTATAGTAACTCCTCTCTCGTCTCGGTCGAGTATTCGACATTGGGCGACTCGACGATCGCGTCTACGGGACATGACTCTTGGCAGAAGCCGCAGTAGATGCACTTGGTCATGTCGATATCGTATCGGGTTGTCCGTCTTGAGCCATCGGCTCGCTCTTCTGCTTCGATTGTGATGGCTTGCGCAGGGCAGATCTATATAGAGTTAGGCATTATAACTACGAAGAAGAAGAAGAAGAAGAAGACCCCGAGTCATGATGTCTGTCCTGGGACAAAACGTACCGCTTCGCACAGCTTGCAGGCGATACATCGCTCTTCGCCTGACGGGTAGCGCCTTAGGGCGTGTTCGCCGCGGAATCGGGGAGAAATAGGACCCTGAGAGAGTATTAGCCTCCGGATTCCGCCGAACGACTCCCTCTTTTAAATATCGATTCCGCAATGTCGCCTCGAGAGTAATATCGCGCAGGCTTTTCTAGACAACCAATTTGGGTATTCGATTATCACGAACCTTTTCAAAAGGGTAGTAAATTGTGTATCTAACAGCGTCGCGGCATAATATTAGCGTTGTGATCTTTCCCCGAGGATCGATATATACCTAAGGTAAAACTCACGGTGGCCTGAAGAAGTTCTCTAATGCGACGTACATGCCCCTGAACATCTCAGTCAGGAGGAAGTACTTTCCAGCGCGTTCGAACGTCCCATCCTGTTCTTCTTCCCATCGCTTCGGCGGGGGAGTTCGGAAACCCTTCGGGGGCGGACCAGCGGGCGTAGCGTACGTCCGTTGCGCGACTATTCTAGCCACTGTCGAGGCCGCGATGGGCTGTCGGCGTACGAGCTGACGAGACAGCATGGCTGTTGTCGATGTGGTAAGCCCTTGCATGGCGCAGTGCAATTGGGCGACAAGAGCAAAGGCGGAATGATTCAATTGTCAAGGTTTAAAATAGTCGAAGGCGAAGTCTACTTTGAGGTCATGCTGGAGACTGGAGTGTCGGGATTTTAGGTGGAGCTCAGGATTACCATTATTACAAAAGCTTTGCCGTGATTGGTTATAGCTCAAGCCCGAGTCTGGGAAGCCACATTAGGTCATAGCCACATAATTCCATCATTAAGTGAGGCTTAACAGTTGACGCACAGCTGCCATCCGGACCTTCCAGTCCGATTTTATTAACAACTTAAACTGAGGGGCACTAAGGCACTAAAATGATGCTGCTAGTCACGTGTAATTCTTTTTAATCGATTTGGCCGCTAGCTCCGATGGAGGGTCCAAGCTCGGAGTTGAACTTTGAGATGACGAGAAATTTATCGCTGAAAACCTCCGCGCATCGAAGCTCCAATCCTCGATCCTCTACGCATCACCCTTTCAACGACCACGTTTTCTTCTCCCGCCCTTCTCTAGACCACCAATTGACTCATTCCCGATCGCCACCATGTTCCGCGCAGCATTAATTCGCACTGCCGCCACGGCGTCCCGCGCCGCCGTCGCTCGACCTATCGCCCGAAAAGCCGTTGTCCCCGCCAGAGCTGTCTTCGCACCGGCGCCCCGACTCGCTGCCTTCCAAGCCGTACGAATGTATTCTGCCGGTAGTGGACTGAAGAAGGAGGAGGTCGAGGGTCGTATTCTTGGCATCTTACAAAATTTCGACAAGGTAAGTTAGTCCGCAAGGCGTCTCGAATTATTGCTGCTAGGCTGAAGGAGGGGGGGATATTGAATATGGTTATGGTACTCCCAGAATATATAGCGTAGAGAAGTTAAGGTTGTAGCCTACGTTTGGTGCCTCCGTAACTTTCAACTTCTGGATATGGGGAAATTATGGTAGTTATATGAAGAGAATAAAGTTGCTAACTGGATGTTAAATAGGTTAACGACCCGAGCAACGTAAGACCCAACCTCAATGCATCATATATATATATATATATATATATATATATATCGGCATACTGACCTTCATTAGCTCAAGCCTACTGCGCACTTCGCAAACGACCTTGGTCTCGATAGCCTAGATACGGTGGAGGTTGTTATGGCGATAGAAGAGGTATGCACAAGTTATCTGCCCCAGAATATTAGTTTGGCAAGCATCTATATTCTTCATTTTCTTTTGACCGCGTATGAAAATCTTGAATGTTGTAGCTAACAAGATATATAGGAATTTAGCATCGAGATTCCTGACAAGGACGCAGATGGTATCCACAGTGGTATGGATTCCCCGTCAGAAAACAACCAGGTTTTTATTTTGATTTGACTGCTAATTCTACTGTCCGTACAGTGAACCAGGCTGTCGACTACATCTTGAGCCAGCCTGATGCGAACTAAGGCACCGCATCTTGTACATTAACAGCTATACTACTTCTATAGCAATGACCGTACTGGCATTTAGACCCCGCGGTGGTGGCTACGTACGTCTACAACAAGTCTTGAGACAATGATAGAGGGACTATAATCGACAAGGCCGATATAGTCAAAATTCGATGAGAAAGGATATCAATGAAGATTAGCATGGCGTGGTTCAAATCGAATACGATTCACTGCCGTTGTATTAGTGTATAAATCTTTTCTCCCATCCGAAGACCGTGCTTCTTTGTCTTTAGTTAATCCAACTACATGTAACTTTGGAAATCATGAATTATGAGCAAACGGCAAGTTTCGAGAGCATCGGATACCTTTTACGGATCATGGTCAAGTATATCTCACGGTTCTACTAGAGTCTAGGGCTGACGGATACACACCGCTCAGCCAATGGAACGGAGACAAGGGTCCCAGATTCAGTACCCATCCTTCAATTTTCATATCCAAAACGGAAACTCTTTATGAGAAGACAGCTTTCACGAAGTATCTTTTTTTCCTTTATTCTTCATTTTATAGTTACCCCCTAAAGTTCACGTGTTTACTATAGCTTTACTACCTGGGGCTGATATATATATATATATATATATATTCACCATCTACCTAGTATTTAGCTCTTCGACCCCATTAAACGTTAACCTAGATTTACTAGGTCTTCGCTTTTGACGAGGTTGGGAACAACCTGGTTAGGTTAGGAGGTACGTAGTGGAATTACAATGGATGGCTCGACTACGAACGACAGCGGAAATAATAATGTAGGGAATACGGGTATGGACAGTGCCACGCTGGCAGGCGTAGTTGCTACCGTAATTTCATTCATCGCGTTGATCGTCTCGTCCATTCAGCTGTTATACCAGTATTATACGAACGTCTCGCTCAATGCGCTTGGCGCAAGAAACTGCAATGAAAGAGTCATGGGCCCGTGGGCTAAGCTCACTCGCCGCCGGTGGAGATGGTTGGAATTACGATACGAGATCATATTCGAATCTCCCATTCTCTTCGTTGCGCCGGCTTGGAACCAGCGCGGGCCCGTCCCAGGCCGCGAGATCTGGTATATGAGCGGGACCGACGAGAGCTTTGCAGAGACCAGGACTCCGATGCCCGTCGACTCGGGCCCGTTTCCTAGGACGACTGCCGTCCGCCACGGCGTCAATGTCGAGGCTACGTGGGTGCTACTGCTACGAACCTTGCAGTCGATGGAGCGCGAGAGCGGCAAATGGCTGGATATCGTACGGAGTACGGAAGACTGCGAGAAACCTCTGCCTTTCGCCAGTCGCACGCTGGCCGTCGCGGCGCAGGCGCAGACGCTGTCGTGGGACTTCGTGCCAAACTTCAAGAAGCCGTTTGCCAACACGACCATCTGCCATATGGTCGAAATAGCCGCCATGCTGGGCATCCACTGGACCATGTGGGACGCTACGGTAGACCGCTACCGCGCCGAGGGGAACGGGTGCATGTTGCTGGGGTCCTTCAACGCCGAGCAGGGCATCGTGTTCAAGTTCGTCCGGCACGACAAGACCGAGTTTCGCGAGCACCGCCTCGTTCCCAGCAATATAATCAAGAGGTTGTGCTTCGGCTTTGCCCCCACCTTCTATTTTCTCGACAAGTACGACTTCGTCCCGGAGAAGGGCGAGCGCGAAATAGCTACGGATCCGATCCTGCCGCTCCTGAGGCTGGGGAGTCGGCAGGAGATCGTCGAGACGCTTATGGATGTCGGATGTCCCATTGCTATATCGGAGCATTTTCTCAGCCAAGATGCGAGGAGCTCTCATCTTTTTCCTAGTAAGTAACTCGCTTCCTTTTCTTCTCTTCTCTTCTCTCATTTATGTAGCGCTGCCCATCCATCTCGGCAGCGTGACGTATAATAGGTAATACAATGCCTACCTATGGGCTACAAGTTAATATCGTCCAGTCGTATTTGACGTCTTAGGAATGTTGGGCCGGTCTATCTCCGTCGAGGGGTACTGCTACCGCTTTCTACCTAACCCGACCGTATTTCGCTGGGATCGCCGATGGTTCAAGACGAAGCGTCTGCTTCTTGTTTTCGAGGAGCATCTCCTACAGCTAAATAGGGCCTACGCCAAAACTGGAGATACACCGGAACCCTTACTTGCCATCGCGTCCGCGCTCGACCGTATAAGCCCTTACCTAGAAAACCCCAGCGTAAAGGACTACTCGCCCGCGCTGCTCGATAGCCTGCGCCGCATCATGACCATCGTGGACGGGTACTTGAAGGACTCCCCGGGGGACTGGGAGTCGCCGTCCGAGACCCTAGTGCTCGACGTAGCCAGCCACCACATCGCCTCCTTAGTCACGGACCTCGGGCGTCGACCGTCGTGGTTCGTGGACCTATTCCCGCTCCGTCGCGCTGACGACGGCGTCAACGAGCGCACGTATATTACATTCCTGTTCCAGCACAGCCGCCGCGCCGCGACGGAGTCGCACACAGATCTCAACGACATCTACGGCCTACCTACTATCGGAGAGCTGAGGGTCGAAGCGCCGTCCGCGGCGGACGCTGTCGCAACAAAGACGAATAGCTTCCTTACTACTCCCTGGAGAAGCGACGCGAGGCTGCGCGACGCCACGTGGTGCCTGCTTGTATTCCGCATGCTGTGCTGGCTCCAGCTGCATGATTTCCACAGAGACGACGTTATGATTCCGCGGAGCGCGACCTACGGGAGCCGCATGCCTGTATATATCGTTTAAGCTAAGCTAGGCGGCGTTTATATGTGTTTCATAGGGCCCCTACTTATAACTCGGATATAAACCAATATACGAACGAAAGTATAACTGATGCAGAACCTTTCCCTCTGTTAAGAAACTCGTCGTCGCCTATCTCTAACATATATATACCTAAGCAAGTACCTAAGCAAGTGATATTCTACACGGAGCGCGGCAGCTGGGCAGTAAAGACAACGGCGTAAAAAAGCGTCTCATGTTTAAATCCGCATTACCTACTGTATGTCCATTTATCCTAAGGCCCTCTTGGAACTAGACGTCTCCGTATGTTCTGGTAGGTACTTAGGCATAATATAGATATCCGGCTTTGTTGTAAATGTGCTTTTCCCGTAGCAAAAGGGACAGAACAAATATATCCAGCCTAGGAGGAATTATATATACCGATGAATATCAACACGAATGAACATGTTACAATTCGACTAATAGCTAGCTGGGAGAGTAAGCTGGAGGCGCGCGCAACTACTTCCCTACCTGAGGTATGTTCCATACCTACCTAGCACCTACACACGAAATAGGGGGAGTGTCATCGTAATCAGCTCAACATCACAAGGTATACTTCCATCTCCAAATAGTTACTCAAACCTACCTATACTTCCCATTAGTAACTCCTCCCAAGGACGTCTGTCTATCATTTGCCGCCTGCATGCATGTATGTCTTACTCTACATGCGGTCAGCATCTAGCACATACCCAGCCCAGAGACGCGATGCCTCTGATTGGACCCTACGAGCTACCTACCATTTGATCTCCAAGCATGCTTGCTGCATACCACCCTAGCCTTATGGTCGTATATATGGGGGTTGGGTATGTATATCGCTGTTTGTAATCTTGGATCACCAGACTGACTGGTAGATCGCTGGCGAGCCGGGCCGAGCGGGTTACTGGATTGGATCCCAAGTTGTCGGGATACACGACAGTTAGTTTTTGTGCGACGCCGAGTTCGATTTTGGAGGAGGAGGAGGAGGAGGGGAGAGGCCGAGTATTCGTTGACTTAAAATGCGCCTCAGTAGGTTACGCGTTTGCATCTCCGCCTTGGAATTGAATGTTTGACGTCGCTTGTTTACGTATGCTTAATTATCTAGGTACCTAAGGTAGGTAGGTAGTGATTATTGAAAACCTTCCAATACTGTTATTCACAATAATCGAACGCTTATATGAAATAACGCAAAGTTCGGCGTAGACTAGTCGTCTTAATGGTAGCAGATGTGAGCACCTACCTAAGCAAGAAAATCTCGTTCTATGGGCTTAAGCGAAGTTGAGCACACTCCAAGCAGTGAAGGCCATTCTAAAAGGGCAACTGGTTAATCTGGCGTACGGTCTCGTCGTGTTTGCGTTGGGGCTGAGTCCAAGCCCCTTTGTACCTAGGTAGGTAAAGTCCTTAACTCATAGCCTCGATTGTGAGCATGGTATGGCATGGAGATGCAACAATCCTACCGGTAAGTTTTTTATAGAGTATGATCGGTTACTGAAGAGAACTCTGTTGATCGGTATACAGACGGGGCGCGGGTGAGGCATAATAGCGATATCGAATCCCTGATTACCTACCTAGATATCAAGCGCCCACAGAGACCGAGGTCCCCAAGGGCGCTCCGCTACCTAGGTAAATTTTGGTTCTATCTATGTAGGTCCTAGACTGGATTCACGACAGCTACGATAATGCGAACCGTGACCGAAACGTTGGGCACATGACGAATATGCATTTTACAAAAGGTCGACCCGGACGAAGTATAGATCCTACCTAGGTCAGAACCTCCTATTGCAAACCTCTTAGGCAGATAGTTCAACAGTAAACCTCAGTGCGTATGTAGTTCCTTCATCAGATCTTATAAGTCAACGGAACGTTACGCCAACTTAGAGAGGGCGTAAACCAAGGTCAATCTACCTACAGCCTTCTTCATAAAGTATACCCGGTCCATGATATCTACCTAAATCATCAGTATCTTGACTAGGTACATAACTACCCCTGAGTCACGACCCGCCGCATATTATTTATATAAAACCCTTTCCTAGATAACTAACTACCCGTGTATTGCTCTCAAGGTATGTATAATCGCAAATGCGCACGAACTCAGCCTGTATGTACACGAAGAGGCCGCGTCAGAAAGCCCCCTTGCGCATCTGCGTCGAAGGCTGCCTATTCGAGTTGCGCAGAGTCTTTCTATTCGTACAAGGAACTGCTACGTACCTACCCATGTAGTATTACCTACCTACCCTATACACCCTCATGATAACCATGTTTAGATAGATAGGTAGGTACCTGATAGCCGGGCGACTGTTATTGGCCTATATATGAGAGCTTTATGTATGTCGCCGGCTGTACCTGCGTACAGACCATCCCTGGATTCGCAAGCAGAACGCCTCGGTGGCGGAAGTCGCCCGGATCAAAAGGTGAACGTAAGAGGTAGGTAAGTTAGCTGACCAGGGTATCTAACCCTTCAGCCCTATGCTTTGGCATACAATTAAGAGTCATCTACCTAGCTCGGGGGGTATATGGGTGGACGATCGACATATCTGCCTATTCACCCATCTCCCTTACCTCCCTACTTACCCCTTACTTGATTAATTATTTACTTATCTGCATATTTGTATTCCTGCCTCTCTGTCTGCATACCGAAAGTCGGACGGGGCACTCGTCAACTTACTCATTAACTTGATAACTTAAGATAGTCGCCGAGTTGCCTCACTACCTAGACTTAACTTATCCTAGGCTACAATCGCCCTTCTATCTCGCTTCTAACCCGTCTGGTGGCCTACCCTCGTACAATATAGGCAGCCGAGGCTTTTTGTAAGCGAATTACTGACAAAGTACATGAAGCGAATTCTGCTTCTTCACGCAGACTGCTTCATAAGCTGTCTAATTTAGTGGAGGGAGTAATAAACGTCCTTGCATTTACATAATATCCCCCTTTGTCCTTTGTGCTGTTGCTATGCACCTATCTACCCTAGAAGCTCTCCGCAACATTCTAGCCAGCCAAGCTATATGTATATAGGAAGGAGTATGTAAGAACAGATGAATATATGAATATGAATATGGCAGCATGGCCCTGTTCTAATCCAATTGAAAAGTTTTCTTTTTCGTGTATATGACCGCCTATGTCTACCACCGGGTTCCCATTCCAACCAAATGATTGAATCCCAATTACATGTTAAGCGTAAAATAGCTAGATGTTGCGTGTAACAAATCAGATGAGATATAGAATGGAAGAAGAAAAAAAGTGAATGCCGATAAACCCAGGATATCTCCAAGAATGTAATAGATACCAACCCCTGTGCCGCAAGATAAAAACCGGTCCAAAAGGGTTATTTATAAACAAGGGAGAGAAATATAAAAAATAAAAGTTCATGTGGTAAATGTGATAATTTTTTTGCCCAACCAACTCCGGCCCCCTGATCGCATCTCCTGTAGATAGTCTCTTAAGAAACCCGCTATCTCGCCGGGGTGTCAGTTTTGCCAACCTGGATGCCGTGAGAAAAAGTTAAACAATGAGTAGCAGGAGTCCGCCGTCTCTATGCCCGCCTGCTAACTATGCAACAGTCTTCCTTTTCATACTTCACTATCTTCCCCCGATATGGACAGGACCTGTCGTAGCGCCCTTGTATATAATACTCTCCATGCTTTATAGCCAGCTTCTGGGCGCTTTATAATTCGTGACTTCGTGACTCGGACAATAAGATGTCCTGATATGTGCATCTCGAATACCTACGCATTGCTTTGAAATGCTTTCGTATAAGGAGCGAGCGTCTTCCTTAGGCATTATTAATGCCCTATGCAACGATGCGCCATTATATCCTGCTCGGTCCTCCTAGACCTAGCATCGCTCACCGGCCACCGACCCCTTCGACCACTCTCGCGGCACCATCGTCCTTCTTCCCGGGTCCTGCAGCAACGCCAGCGTAGCTAGAACCCCAGACGCTCATAGCGGTGCCTACGCCGGACATTCGCTTCCGTGCCCTTATAGTGCTGTCTCGATCGCCGTCCTCGTCCATGCTGAATACGAATTCGCCGTCCTCTTCCCCTATAGGAGTGGTATACCGGGCGCTAGAGCTGATGGAGCCGCTGCTGACGTGGCGTTCGCCGGCTCGGCCGTTTGATGGTCGCGACGTATGCGAATTGGGATGCAATAGCGGTGATTCGCCTCCGTTGCTGTCGATGCGTGTGCGCTGCAGCTGCTGGGACAAGGCACTTAGACCCTCGATGCTACTGGACCGGCTCGAATTGTGTGGTCGCACAACGTTGGCACTGAGGCTGGATTGGCGAAGGGGACTTCCGACGTGTCCAAATGCACCTGCACTAGCTGCTGCTGCATGTTTCTTCGCCTCGTGTTCCTCGTGCTGCCGTTGAAATAGCGGTCCCCACCGGCTTGGACTCGATGCCATTGGGCTGCCGAATTTGGAGCTTACCTCGCCATTGGGTGTCCCCGTGCCACTCATCCCAGCGATGCTAGGTGAAGTACCATTTCCCCTATGGCCGTTGGATTCTTCGTCGGCTGCTCGTGAACCGCGCCGTGCTTTCTCCGCCGGCGTTAACAAGTCTTTCAGATTGTCAGGCAAATAATCCTCCTCCAGAAAAGAAAAATCAGACTCCCAATCTCGGTCGATGGCACCGGCGATAGCACGCGGCGCGCTGCTGCTAAGCATCTTAGGCTTGGCATAGCGGCTCGAGTGCATCTGACGTCTGCCAAAGTATTCGTCGGATGGTTGGGTCGGTGGCGAAGAACCGGCCGCAACCGAAGACAAATGCTCGTTGCTACCGAATGCCGAGTGGTGTAGAAGCTTAAGGGTTTCTGAAGTTCTCGAATCCTTAGCCGCGTTTAAGGATGGTGAAGGGGAATCAAGTCCAAATTGCGAGGGCATCGAGGATGGCCACGGCGCACCGGGGTATCTGGCGGCATTGGAAATTCCATTCGAATCGAAAGATGCGGGAAGAGGAGCGTCAAGAACGGACAGCCCCTTAGCAGCTACGGGCGAAAGTCCTAAACCAAGACGGGTCGGGTCTTCTTCACGTGGTGAACCATATTGAGAACTCGTGTGGGAATATGTAGTATCGATGGTTGGAACGTTTTCTAAGCTCGGTCGACGGTCAATGGATTGATAAGTATCGCTCGGGGACATTGGATATCCGTATGAGTTTCCGTATGAAGGATTGGCATCGGCGCGCATGAAAGAATTCGTCAAGGCGCTGTTCGAGGAAGAGTTGAAGCTTGGATTGACTCGACCGCCCAGGTGAATAGGTTGGCCTATGGTGATACCATTTTTACCATAGTTGATTCGTCTACCGTCGGCGAGGACGTGGACATTAGCACATTTTGGTCCGAACTTGCAATTGCCCTATAGTTTCACCAGATCGTTAGTCGTCTTCTTTATTTTTGTCCTAGTACCTGATCCATGTTCCATGTTCCATGTTCCATGTTCCATGCTACATGTTGCATGTGAGACTCTGTGAGACGACTTATCTATCATTCTTACCTTGGCAAAGTATTTGCACACCGTTTCTGCAGCAGTACCGAGATCGTGACTGAAGGGACAAGCGGAACCAGCCTGACATGCGCCTTGTCGAAAGAATTTACATGGAACGTGCGACGTGTCTGCGATTGGAGAATACCGAGGTCAGAAAGGAACGACTTAAAAGGTTGGATAGATCATGGACATGAATTATTATTATTTTAATATAATAAAATAAATAAATGAATAAATAAATATCACTTACTCGGTGGACTCCTCGGGCCATCGAAGCGACCGTGTGACGGAACTATCGGACTCATCGTAGTTGTCTGGGATGGAATATTTAAGCTGCCGGACCTCATATGACGATATTCGGACATTTTAAGAGGTAGTAACGGTGGCTGCGATCGGGTAGAAAATTTAAATGCGACGGGGAAGAAAAAAGAGGAAGGGAAGGGAAGGGAAGAAAGAGGTCGCAGAGGTTGCAGTAATAATAGTATGGGTGACAATAGTACCAGTAATGGGTAGAATGGTAGGCAATAAACGGCGACGGTGGTAGCGAGACGTGGGAGGATTTAGGAGGGGCGCGTCGACGACAACCTGGTCGTAGCAAGCATTGACGCCCCCTTATCGTCTAAACCCAGGGTCGTGTCGTGCTGCTCTTCCACTCTTGTTGGGAGTCCGGGGTCGAGTTCGGGCGCAGGGCTAATATCAGCTAGACGATTTGTTATTATCAGAGCACGTAGCTGGTTTCTAATAGTGTAGCTTGAAAAGAAAAAAAAAAGTATATGCAGGTAGACGGTGCGAAAGAAAAAAAAATGAGGGAAATGGAAAATTAGATAGTTATAACGAATAAAACGGTTTGATTAAAAGAAGCGCTAAGACAACGGATGATAATAATAATTAAATAATTAAAAATAAAAAATGAAAGTCTTGTCTAACCCTACCTCCTACACGTATACCGTTATGCAGACGGGATACCACTTTGATGGTGTAAGGTTCAGGAACAGAAAAACAATAAAATATAAAATATAAAAAGTTAAATTTAGGTGGAGAGGGGAAATTGAACTTGGAAAGCGATGATTTGAGAATTCCGAAGCTCCGGATATATGTGTGCGTATGTGCGCATATATGCGTGTTGTGTCTTAAGGTTACTGGAGGAAGAGGAATTGTGAGTTGTTGGTTTTCTTCAGACGAAAACTATCGAATGGAACAAGAGAGGGGATGGATGTAGAGTGAGTGTGAGAGAGAGATCATAAAGAGAGAGAAGAAGGATGGTTAGCGGCGGCAGAGATTCGGTCAAATCAAATATCTGCGCAGCGACGAGGGGTGAATATCCCGAAGGGGGGTAATGAAATAAGAATTGGGACTTGGGACTTGGGACTTTGGGGCTGGGAACTTGACGTACGGTTAGGTCAGGTTAGGTAGGTTACTTAGCGAGCAATAGGTAAAAGAGGCAAGCAAGGTCGAATTATGAATTGTGAGTTGAGAGGAGCTAGAAGAGAGCTTTAATTATTATTAGCCCAAAAGGTAAATCCGTGACAGGGTAGGTTAGTCTTTGGTAAGCTTAAAAAAGGCTTGGTTGGGTAAGTTAAGCTAGACGGGAGTTGAGGAAGATGGAACCTCAGGACCTGGGGGATAAGAGAAGGGGGGGTTACAGTGGCTTACCGGGTTCTGATTGGGACGAGTGAGCGATCGCAGTTCGCAGTTCGCAGCTCTCAGGGCAAAGTTAAGGGAACCCGCAGTGATAGAGAGAGCCTTATTAGAAGGACAAGAGGGGTCCTCACTTTATGAATATAAATGTGGGGGTAAGCCGTGTACATATGTAAGATGAGAGACCTCGTTTTATTGATAACCTTAGAAAAAATAAGGTAAGATAAAAATAAAAGGTAGACGAGGATAATAATTGTATTAATAAGGTATTTGGGGGGGTTGAGTAGAGGTACTTATATGTACTTGGGTAGGAGGTAGACCGGAAGAGACATAGAGGTATAGAGGTAAGAATATAGATAGAGTCCGTCGTAAAGCTTTTAATTATCTGGTTGTTATTCTTGTTCTTGTTTCTCGTTTCTTGTTTCTCCTTCAAACTTCCTAGCTGGTCAAAAGAGAGTATCACAACCGGAAAACCGGGGAATTTGCCATGATTGTGATGATAATGGTGACGCTGGTGACTCGGAAGTTTAATGATGAAATCAATGTTACGCTTGGTCTTGGTTTGCAATTCTTATCCTGGTGTTCTCCAGTGGCTGAATCAAAGTCGTTGATGATTCGTAAGACTCGGACGATGCCAATGGGAGGTCATCTACTTGTAAGCTGATGGCCTGGTTCAAGACACCGGTGTGGAATGTAACGAGACACTGGGAAACCGGATCAGGTAAGGTGTTTCCAGGAACCCGCAGTTGCGTCTGCCTGCCCGTCTGGTATATCTCAAAAGGTGGTGGATGACTCTAACTAGCCACGAGGCCACAGTCGAGTTGCGTCAATACTTCCCCCTCATGTGTTCCCTCTACTTTTCGCTATTGCGCCCTGTATATATGAGCTTATGAGCTATGTATGTCAACCTGAGGCCCGGGGGGTAGGCCTAGGCAGTTAACGTAGTAATTAACGAGGGGGGTTAGGGTAGCTGCCAAATAGGTAAAACGTCCTGCCGTTGAAGATAAGAGTCATATGCAGGTCGACGCAAGGCACTGTTTCTCTTTAAAGTCGCTGGTAAGTACTGGATGTAGTTACAAATAAAGCCGGTGTCTCCGCGTGTTCCTTCGTTACACTGGGGACTCTCGGCCGACCCTTGAACGAGTTCTCGTTCTTGGATAGGTACTATCTAGGGACGGAGGAATGGCTCCAGGGTAATTGTCAGACAAGGACAGGACTTGCGAAGTTTTGGGCTAGGTCTACAGGGGGATGATGGCCTTGTGTGGGGGTCTCATTGGTACTTCCAACAACTCAAGTACGCAGGCTCGGTTCAAGGAACTCGAAGCGCCGTTGGGTTGCAAAGAAACAGACGGAAACTAGATTATTAGGAATCGTTCACCCGGCTTTCGCCGGTCCCGTGACTTTTTCTATTGTAAGATGAGGGATTGCGACATGAACTGATCCACAGGTAATGAAACGGTGAGTTGGATCGTCACGACGTCTCACGATGATGTACGAGTGTATGTATGTAGTTAGAAGAGGAGCTGTATCCCCATCCAACCAAAAAGTTGAGGGGGTGGGTTAAGATTGTGCCTTAGGCCCGTAAATCTCACAATGCTCCAGTGCTCGTGGTAAAATGAATAGTTATATCAAAGGCGGTGAACACTGTGTGCCGGTACCAACTTAGAGCCGAAGTCTAGAAAAGTACCTAATATAAATGCGAGCGAACGGCCGGCCACTTGTATGCATGAAATGATGGGTAAGGTGAGAAACCCAAATATGCTGATGATGGATCCTTTCGCCTCGAAATCCGATGCGTGGCACCCAATCAATCAAGACCTGAAAAATAGGCTTTTAAGGTTACCACGCTCGAGGTTAGCAAATGAGATGTCGCGGGGTCAATGCTCTTGTATCAAATACACCTTTGTCCGAATTTGAATCAGGTCAACCACGGATGATGGGTTTGGGGGGGAATCAGATCGGTGAAGCGCATAAACTGTAGGTACCTACCTAAAATAAAATCGGTATAACACGAGCACGGACAATTTGAACCATGGAAGTTAGACTAGGTAGAGATAGTCGAAGTGCCAAGTAGATGGATCGCCCTTAAGCGACTTAAGGAAAAGCGAGGATTGATCTAAAAGATGACGCCACGATGTGGTTTTGTTCCTATGTAAACCCCTTAAAGCGTTAGATGCGTGAACTCGGCATAAGCCATCGTGACAAACACCCCCTTTAAACCGGATAACGTTTGCTCACCCTATGGGATTTATTTTGTAATGGTCATAATTCTGGTGACTGGTGATGGGTGATGTTGTGTCGACTGAGTGAGGCTAAAGATATAGGTGCGAGGTGTAACCCGTAAATGAACACAAGGTGGTAAGACGGGTGTCACTCACTCGTGCACGTCCCGAAGCGTCCGTGATCAGCGGCTTGCCTCATTGGAAAACTAAGCTACCTAGGTAAGTGACATATCAGATATACTAGTGACTGTTCTCGTTTGCTTTTTCCCTAGCCGTTCTTCGCCAGAGAGAATCCGTATCTCCAGCTCGTATCTTGTCAGGCTAAAGACTTTTCGCTCTCATCGAGAGAACGCTTAGTTACGGCGAAGCAGTATTGACCAAAGAGCTGATGGATTCCGTAGGATTTCGATACCCAGCATATGGGTAATTGGAATAGCAAAAATGCAGGTCGACGTTATAGGAAAAGAGGATGGGACTTGAGACGTCCCAAGTAGGCGGTTCCAGAACATTAGCTAGGGAACTTAGCCCTCATCCGCTGGGAAACTTGTGTTTGGGGGCCACCCTAAACGTTTATTTATGTCCTTAAGATGTCATATGGCCATGATACGAGTGAGCACTAGTAGACTGTATTGACCGACAACTGTTGGAGCGGCCGGCGCGCAAACTCGGACGAAGCATGACGTACCGCACGATGCGCGACAGCCACCGGTTAGACTCTCTATAACGTAGAATTAAGATAGTTGCCGCTCAAATTCGATGTTGTATCTATCTCGACATGCTGAGGAAGACGATATTTACTGGTTTCGCTCACTGTCTTGGATTTGACGACGATCACCGCCATCTTTAACTACGACTTGCATCGGATGAGCGACGAAGGCGCATAAGTGGCGACTGCAGCCATAGTTCCCGCGCTTCTATCATTCCTCGTGTAAGTGAGACCGGGACAAACTACGCGCATATTTACGCACGCACGCGTCCATATAACACACACACACTTATCGCATACCGCATACCGCGTTTTGCGCCTTTATCCTAACCTCGCCTCCATAATGCTTTTAATGCTGGAGGCCCTAGGTGCTTGGTATCTAACCGGTCTCTCCTCTCAAATCTCATCAGCAAGCACCCGATGCATGTCGAAGGATCGGGCCACATCGTAGGCGACCAAGCTGGAATGAATGGTCCGGATTGAAAATGAGGCCAATCACCAAGCCGTCGAATGTACGGTCTAATGACCTGGTGGTATTGATAAACCGGGGAAGCGTTTCAGCCTTCGACATTGCTGCATCGGTGTGCTGCCACGAGGTCGCCTCTACCCGCACTAGCGAATAGTTATGGTACGATTAGAGAAGCATTGCCATCGACATCAACCTGGAGACCGATCTACAAACCAAGATATCCGATAGATTAGTAGTGCATTAGGTAGATGCATGTATAGGTATGAGAGTGATGCCGGTGGTGATAGTCATACGGTATAACTAGTATGTAGGAGGTACGTCTATGCGAGT